GAAGTCTTCAGAGGACTCCCCATGCCTCTTAAAAACATACCTTGAGGTGTTTTCTTTCGAAAATGGGGTCATTTTGTGGGTAATTCAATTGTCCTGGTGCTCCAGGACCTCCAAAACTGTGATAGACAGTCAAGAAATTAGATGTGTAATTTTTGCCCCTAGAACGCCTAAGGGTGCTTATTGGATGTGGGGCCCTTCTATGTGGTTAGGCTGTGAAAAAGTTTTACACATGTGGTATCGCCATACTCAGGATGAGTAGCAGAATGTGTTTTGGGGTGTAATTGCAAGTATGCCTATGCCGTGTGAGAGAAAGAACTTGTTTAAATGACAACTTTGTGGGAAAAAAAAAAAGAATTTTTTTTTACTTTCATCATTTCCTTAAAAAATTGGCAAAAAATGACAACTTCAAAAAACTCCCCATGCCTCTCATTAAATACCTCAGACTGTCTACTTTCCAAAAAGGGGTCGTTTGGGGGGTATTTGTACTGTCCTGGCATTTTAGGGCCCCAAGAAATTATATAGGTAGTCCGTGCATCAGGATTGATACATTTTCAAATATATCAAATATACAGTCAGGTCCATAATATTGGGACATCGACACAAATCTAACATTTTTGGCTCTATGCACCACCACAATGGATTTGAAATGAAACAAACAAGATGTGCTTTAACTGCAGACTGTCAGCTTTAATTTGAGGGTATTTACATCCAAATCAGGTGAACGGTGTAGGAATTACAACAGTTTGCATATGTGCCTCCCACTTCTTATGGGACCAAAAGTAATGGGACAATTGGCTTCTCAGCTGTTTCCATGGCCAGGTGTGTGTGTTTATTCCCTCATTATCCCAATTACAATGAGCAGATAAAAGGTCCAGAGTTCATTTCAAGTGTGCTATTTGCATTTGGAATCTGTTGCTGTCAACTCTCAAGATGAGATCCAAAGAGCTGTCACTATCAGTGAAGCGAGCCATCATTAGGCTGAAAAAACAAAAACAAACCCATCAGAGAGATAGCAAAAACATTAGGCGTGGCCAAAACACTGTTTGGAACATTCTTAAAAAGAAGGAACGCATCGGTGAGCTCAGCAACACCGAAAGACCCGGAAGACCACGGAAAACAACTGTGGTGGATGACCGAAGAAATTCTTTCCCTGGTGAAGAAAACACCCTTCACAACAGTTGGTCAGATCAAGAACACTCTCCAGGAGGTAGGTGTATGTGTGTCAAAGTCAACAATCAAGAGAAGACTTCACCAGAGTGAATACAGAGGGTTCACCACAAGATGTAAACCATTGGTGAGCCTCAAAAACAGGAAGGCCAGATTAGAGTTTGCCAAACGACATGTAAAAAAGCCTTCACAGTTCTGGAACAACATCCTATGGACAGATGAGACCAAGATCAACTTGTACCAGAGTGATGGGAAGAGAAGAGTATGGAGAAGGAAAGGAACTGCTCATGATCCTAAGCATACCACCTCATCAGTGAAGCATGGTGGTGGGTAGTGTCATGGCGTGGGCATGTATGGCTGCCAATGGAACTGGTTCTCTTGTATTTATTGATGATGTGACTGCTAACAAAAGCAGCAGGATGAATTCTGAAGTGTTTCGGACAATATTATCTGCTCATATTCAGCCAAATGCTTCAGAACTCATTGGGACGTCGCTTCACAGTGCAGATGGACAATGACCCAAAGCATACTGCAAAAGCAACCAAAGAGTTTTTTAAGGGAAAGAAGTGGAATGTTATGCAATGGCCAAGTCAATCACATGACCTGAATCCGATTGAGCATGCATTTCACTTGCTGAAGACAAAACTGAAGGGAAAATGCCCCAAGAACAAGCAGGAACTGAAGACAGTTGCAGTAGAGGCCTGGCAGAGCATCACCAGGGATGAAACCCAGCGTCTGGTGATGTCTATGCGTTCCAGACTTCAGGCTGTAATTGACTGCAAAGGATTTGCAACCAAGTATTAAAAAGTGAAAGTTTGATTTATGATTATTATTCTGTCCCATTACTTTTGGTCCCTTAACAAGTGGAAGGCACATATGCAAACTGTTGTAATTCCTACACCGTTCACCTGATTTGGATGTAAATACCCTCAAATTAAAGCTGACAGTCTGCAGTTAAAGCACATCTTGTTTGTTTCATTTCAAATCCTTTGTGGTGGTGGTGTATAGAGCCAAAAATGTTAGAATTGTGTCGATGTCCCAATATTTATGGACCTGACTGTATATACCGTGGTCTGTGGACTCTATAACTTTCACAAAGACTAAATAATACACACTGATTTGGGTTATGTCTACCAACAAAATGTAGCACAATGGATTTTGGCCTAAATTTATGAAGAAAGTATATTTATTTGCAAAATTTAGTATCAAATACTAAGAAAAACATGTTTTTTTTTTTTTCAAAATTTTCAGTCTCTTTTTTTTTTTTCTAGCAAAAAATAAAAACCCCAGTGATGATTAAATACCACAAAATTAAAGCTCTATTTGTTTGAAAAAAAATGATAATAATTTCATTTAGATACAGTGTTGTATGCCTGAGTAATTGTCATTCACAATGTGAGAGCGCCGAAAGCTGAAAATTGGCCTGGACAGGAAGGGGGTAAAAGTGTCCGGACAGGAAGTGGTTAAGGGTGAATTCACACTGACTGTGCTAAAAGTCATAAAAAATTCACATACATATCCATACATTTTAGTTGCGTGTTAACGTGAATTGACTCTTCATTTTAGCGCACTTGTAAAATGTAAGTCATCATATAGAGACATGAAAAACAATTGTTTCCTATGTGTCCTGTTCACACTACAACACTGCGATAACCTACGTTGCATTTTAACACAGCACAGGGTAATGCGGGTCATCACAGCGTTGGAGTGTGAACAGAAAACGTAAGTAACAATTGTTTTTTATGTGTTATGTGCAGGGGCAGACTGACCATTTGGAAACTTGGGTACTGCCCGAGGGCCCGGGGTCAGTAGGGGGCCCCATGAGATGCCCCTGGTACCTTTTTCATAGGCTTTTTTGAGTTTGGGCAAGGACACAGGGGCCCCATGATCCCCTATTGCCCGGGGGCCCCATGAGTTGTCAGTCCACCCCTGGTTATGTGTTTACTAGTATCATAGATTGTAAGCTCCAAGGATCAGGGCCCTCTTATCATTCTTTTATTGAACTGTATTGTCTCCCGTTATATTGTAAAGCGCTGAGCACACTGTTGGCGCTATATAAATCCTGTATAATAATAAATAATACTTGCTATTTAGTCAATGCGTGGTAAAACTTAACAAAGACGCAAGGCAATGTACATGCATTTTAGTGCAGATAACTGCGTCCTAGTACATGACATGTATTTATGCCCTGAGTCCTGATTTATTATGGGGGATGACAGTTTCTGCAGCTGCTACTCAGGAGACGTCATGTGCAGCCATGAAAACGGTTGTTTCCTGTGTGGACAAAACTTCTTTTGCCCACTAGGTGGCGCTCTAGCGAGTAACTCATATTCCATCCTTGCTCACACGCTGCTAAGCTTCGCCTTTAGTGTTTGGGGTCGGGCTGCGAGAGGCCCAATCAGCATACAGCGTGGGGCGGCGGGAGGCCAATCAGCGTGCAGTGTGAGGCTGTGGGCGGGTGTCAGAGGGCGCTCAGGTGAAGGTATGCTCGCTGTGTATTTCCGGCTGTATGGTCATTATGTGAGTTGTAGTGCGAGGTGGGCGGTGCTCCTCGTGTACCCTGAGCGGTCACTGTGTGGTGGGTGTTCATCTCCTCCATAGAAGGCTGCCTGTTGGCGCTTGCATTCCTTCTCAGTGTTTCCCTCTCCCTGTATCGTTCCTTAGGCTAGGTTCACACCTAAGCGTTTTGCAGAAACGCACTACATTGTGTTTAACATGGTTTCCTATGGGACACATTCACATCTCTGTGTTTTCACCCAGTGCGTGTTTTGGAAAGGGTAAGACCCCGGTCACATCGGGTGCGATTTACATGCCATGCAACTTGCAAATCGCATGCCAAGTCGCACCCTATTGTCCACAATTACAGCGGGTCAAATCTTTGCAGTACCGACTTCTAAAGTAGTACATGCTGTACTCTTGGTGCGATTTGCATAGATGTCTGTCAGATGTCTTGCAAATCGTACTTGAAATCAGCAGGGTTCCCCAACTTTGAAATCATGCGACTTCACTGTAAGTTGCACGATTTCAAAGTCGGTCTTGATGTGACCGAGGTGTAAGGGACTTTTTTTTTTAAACGCAAAACGTTGCGTTTTTGGTTCCATGGACTTCAATGGAGATGCTGCAGAAAAGCATGTAGTGCGTTTTGCATTTTAATCTGCTTAGCAACAAAAAAAAAAAACGTATCAAAACCGCATGTGCAAAAATGCAAACTGCTCTGCAGAAATGGATCAAACTACATAGGTGTGAACCTGACCTTAATGGTTTCTCTCCATCATCTCTTCACAACTACCTGCTTGACACCTTTTAAGGTGGTCTCTTATGTATCAATAGGTTTGGGGTTGTTAAAAATGAGCAGTGGAACTGCGTTTTTTTTTTACTGCCCCCTGTGCAAGACCCTTTTTTTGGTCCACACTAGAATTGGATCGCATAAGTATTCACACTCATGTGATGTGATTCTGCATATTGCACCGCGTTTTGCGACACTGCTTTTGGGGTGCTGTTAACACATACACACCCGCAGTGGTTTGGATGAATGAGGTGCAATTCTGATGCAGTGTGGAATTCGCATTGAAAACGCTCCGAATTCTGCACCGCATCAGTGTGAACCAGGGTTCAGGCTGCATTGACTCATAAAGTGTTACTAAACCCACAACAGTAAAATCAGTCTGTGTACGCAGTAAAGCATGCTTGTTATACTCACTGTAGAACCTAAGGGGTTAATCCTCTGCATTGTGTAAAAACGCTGTTTGATCCTGACTTCTCTAATCCTCCCTTTCTTCCAGTGTCCCCCTCCTATCTCCTGATAAAACATATGGTGTGGAGTCACTCTGCACATACTCAGTTTGGTGTGTATTGCTGTAGAGGTTTTTTTTTTTTCTTGGGAGAGTGCATGTGATCAACACAGGACAAATCAGCACTGTCTAGAGCAGAATGAAAACTCCTCCTACAAGCTTTAACCCCCCTGGTGGTATTCCCGAGTGTAGCTCGGGTAAAGTTTCAGTACCACAAGCGGTAACCCCGAGCTACACTTGAGAATACCATGCGGCGCTGCTCCGGGATCCCTCAATTACTTACCTTGTCCTGCGCTCCCGTGATGTCCCTCCTGCAGTGTCCCCTGTAATGTCCTCCGGTGGATGCCGGCATTTGTCTTCTGGGTTCCGTCCCCTGCGAGCGTCGGGACGTACGGGGACAGAACGGCGGGAAATTGAAAATGACAAAAAGTGACATTCACTAAATACACTAAAATCTCATAGTATAACAATACTGTACCAAACCATTTCACATACATTTTGTCCCTACTGCTTTGTCCTGCGCCCTGCCTACATTTCTACTGTTCTTTCTGCCTGGAAACTGAGAAATGTCCATGGCGTCCAAAAAGCGTCCCTTTAGGTCAAAATCGGTTTTAGGCCAGCTAGAGAACAGCGATAGTAAATCAGAACCACTTGCAGAATTGAGTGATAATGATTCGTGGGGAAATTCGCATCAGACACTGAAAACGATTTTGCAACTTTGCTCAGTGATGTGCGAACTTGGAGCTATATTTCAAATTTCAGTGTTTTTGGTTTGATTATATTATTGAATTAAATTTATTATTATTATATTTTATGATTATTTATTAAATTATAATTTATGATTTCGTGTTTCATATTGTAACATACTGGGGATGTTTACTAGACTCTTGTTCGGACAGATTTCAGTGAGTTATTCCTAAAAATTACAGGCCTACAATAAAAAAAAATACATATTTCCATGCAAAACAATGTACCACTTTGAGCACAGAAATATGGACATAATCAGACCGCTAGGGAGGTTAACTAGTGCTCTGCTGGACACTGATAGAAGTCACAAGACTGCTTTAACTGCTGATGAGAAAAGGTATTTAGCAGATTATATTTACTAAAATAATTGCACTTCCATGTTGTGTGTACTGTGGGAAACCAGATATGGTGAATGCAGGGTCCTGGGTTTAGTAACGCTTTATTCCAGGAACTCTAAGAAATGCGCCTTTCTGCCTACATTCCGGAACTGTGCGGAAAAAACACGCATCACGCTTGCGGAGCCATTATTTCTTAATAGCACTCCAAACTTGGATAGCAGTTAGTTTTGTTGTGCGGCAAAATGTACAAAAACTGCACATCACAAAATGCACTAGGCTCATTACAAAAAAAAGTACATGGACTACTCTGGTGCGTAGAGCAGCTCATTCAAGTGAATTAGACAGCTATACGGATAACATGCATGAAGGTGAGCACACACGTGAATAATGTCCTTAATGAATAAACATAAGGTGAATGGTGTCCTTAATGGGTCACACAGACTTCATGCAGGTGTGAGCCACACTGTGCCAATCCTCTAAGGCTGGGGTGCCCCTTCCTGCTCAGGCCCCCAGGGACCAAAGAGCTTGTAATGCTGTTTGTAATGATCCTGCTGGTCAGTGGATCCTGCTGGTAATAGTGGTGTCACTCACTCCTCCTGGTAGGTCTTAGTGTGGAATAGTGACCTCAGCACTGCCCGTGGTGTCTCTCCGATAAAGGCTCTCCAGTACGATCACCAGTGAGGCAAGAGAGACTTACATAGTGTAAAACCTTTTATTATAGTAAAAAACAACCAAGAGCCTACTTACACGGGTCTAATAGTAAGCAGGCCTTTACACCTCTCCAAGGGTGTACTGTATTCAGGACTTGGAGCACCAAAATGGCGTCCACGCCGGATATGACGTCAAACCGTCGATCGTAGGAAGCTCCTCCCCCTGGCGTATCTACGCGTTACGTCACTCAAAAACACGTGACTTCATCAGGATATGATATCCTGATGAAGTCACGTGTTTGAGTGACGTAACGCGTAGATACGCCAGAGGGAGGAGCTTCCTACGATCGACGGTTTGACGTCATATCCGGCGTGGACGCCATTTTGGTGCTCCAAGTCCTGAATACAGTACACCCTTGGAGAGGTGTAAAGGCCTGCTTACTATTAGACCCGTGTAAGTAGCTCTTGGTTGTTTTTTACTATAATAAAAGGTTTTACACTATGTAAGTCTCTCTTGCCTCACTGGTGATCGTACTGGAGAGCCTTTATCGGAGAGACACCACGGGCAGTGCTGAGGTCACTATTCCACACTAAGACCTACCAGGAGGAGTGAGTGACACCACTATTACCAGCAGGATCCACTGACCAGCAGGATCATTACAAACAGCATTACAAGCTCTTTGGTCCCTGGGGGCTGAGCAGGAAGGTCGTGAGGGGGCACCCAGCCTTAGAGGATTGGCACAGTGTGGCTCACACCTGCATGAAGTCTGTGTGACCCATTAAGGACACCATTCACCTTATGTTTATTCATTAAGGACATTATTCACGTGTGTGCTACCTTCATGCATGTTATCCGTATAGCTGTCTACTTCACTCTTTATATATATGTCAGCCATTCCTTATATATATGTCAGCTATTACATGGTTTATACTTTATGTTTTATCTAAATTTTACTCATTTAGCGCCGTATTAATTGGTTTTATATTGAGTTGTTGTTTTTGGTGCTGTGGCTGTGGCACTACTAATACAGGCTGCTTTAATCATCTAATCATTTACATCTACATTTTGGCGCAGGAGAATATTCTTTTATTTTATCATTCAAGTGAATGTTATTGCGTGACCGTCCACCATAACGTATCGCACTAGTGTGAATGTGGCCTTAAGATGCAAATGTCAGCGTTCTGGGTGTTTACTTGTTGCAGTTATAATGCTTCACTGCGCGCCCAACATGTCACCATCAGCAGGTAGCGAGCCTGCCTGTTGGCAGGTGCAGTCTGTTTTCTCCACTGTAGGTGGAGTGGTACTGCAGCTGAAGGGAAAATCAAAAAGAAAACCATTTTTCTTTAGTTCCTTGTTTTCCTGAGACAGCGTTCTGGTTGGCTGCGCTGCATTCAGGTGACTGGTGGCCACCTTGGGTCAGCAGATCCATTTTAAGTGTCTGCCCCCAGGCTTTGGCGCGCATTTGCGAGTGGCTAGGATAGAAACAGAGCGCTCCCCTGTCAGGGAAAGTGATTAGCGACAGGGAGAGGTTGCGGACGAGTAGGAACACACCATCTTGCATCAGAACCCTCCCCTTTGGGCTCAGGCCACCCTCGGAGGAGATAGTCTTTGCACCTGAACCTGCTCTACGCTACAGGTTGCACAGAAGTGTGGGTGTTCCCCCAGTTTGGCACCTTCTCGCTGGGCTGTTTGTACATTTGGGCCATTCTTCAATACAAGTTTTGTCATTTGCAACCAGACTTAGAGTGTTTACTGCCACTGCGCCACGCTGCACCAGCCCACATGCCAAATCTGACCAATTCACGTGAGTGGGGAAGCCCTGAACGCTTTGCATCTGTGAGCGATGCACAAGGTTGTTGGGTTTGTTGGCAAAAATGGGGTTAAAACAGATGATGAGGATCACATCATCTCACCGTCTGTCAATCATCTCTAAAAAGCAATCCAAATGCAGATCAATCTTTACAGGAGCATTAGATATAGATGCACATCTATAGCTAAACTTATTGAGCTGTCCATTATTATTATTATACAGGATTTATATAGCCCCAACAGTTTGCTCAGCGCTTTATAATATAATGGGAGACAATACAGTTCAATACAAGAGGGATAGAAGGGCCCAGCTCCTTGGAACTTACAATCTAAGAGGGAGGGGCTAGTGGTACAAAAGGTAGTGTAGTAACTGTGGGGGATGGGCTGGTAGGAGGAGTAGAAGATTCCATTATTAGCTGAGAGCAGGATAGGCTTCCCTGAAGAGATAGGTTTTCAGAGATCGTCTAAAAGTGAGCAGAGTAGGCGATAGTCTGATAAATTGTAGATTTTGACTTGAAACAATCAGCCACATGTTAATCACTTCACAATTCAGATCAATTAATGAGCATTTTTAAAGGTAACCACGCATGTATCAATATGATCATTCAATCAGTCATTTGATGCTTTATTCCATGAATCAAAATCAGTGTAAACGAGCCCCCAGTCACAATCTCACTTTTCATTGATGTCATTGAAACATGTGACCTTCATAGCATCATATCTGCTGTGTTCATCTACCCATCAGGGACCCACACAGAACTAAGAACTGCACAGAGATTCCAAGGATGGCCATGCCAATGGACACACACGGGTTTATTTACTAAAGCTGGAGAGTCCAAAATCAGACTCCCTTCTGCCTAGAAACCAATCAGCTTCTAACCTCAGCTTGTTCAATGAAGCTTTGGCAATAAAACCTGGAAGCTGATTGGTTTCTATGCAGAAGGGAGTCTGATTTTGGACTCTCCAGCTTTAGTAAATAAACCCCACAGTGTCAGCTCAGGAGCGAGCACACGAGTGCCCCAATAGTGAGCAGCTTGCTCTGGGGACACTGGGGAGGGTCCAGGAGTGCCAGAGGGAGACACGAGAAGAACAGGATCTGGGCTGTTCTGTGCAAAATCATTGCACAGCACAAGGAACTATAACATCCACATTCATGAATAGTTGAATATGACGCAGCGCTGGGATAAATCAATCAATAAATTACAAATACATCAAATATAAGTGTTCATATAGTGATAGTCCTTCCAGTCACAAAGTCCAGAGAGCACCACGCCAGTGATAAAAGAAACCTGCTCTACAGTGCCACTGTACCCACATCCAGTCACTCCGTCTCACTCACCAGAAAGATTTGCCTCTCCAAATTATGATCAGCCAATGCACTTGTTTTAATCAATTCAGCAGCTCCACATTTGCCAGACTCATTCCATCTCCTGCTTTCACTAGTTAACTCAGAGTGACTAAAAGAAGAATGCTCTAAATAGTGTAATCCCATAAAATAAATATATTTATTTCAGCAAGTTTACAAACCTACTCACAGGCAGACTAAATAAAGCGCTCAACATAAATACCAAATGTCTCATCAGCCAACCTCCGGTCTTCCATCAAGGGATCGGCATCTCACCTGGTCTTCGTGTTGTGACTACCACCATGTCATGTCCAGTGTGGGTCCTGACGTCGCTTCCGGTTGTCATGCAGTCCGCACTTACATGTTTCATCTGTCAACTTTATCAAAACGTGTTTGTTATTTTAAAAATTAATAATTTTACCTTTAGAATCACTCTAAAGCTCTGAACACACAAATGTGAATGCTGTGTATGTTGTGGTGACTGTGTTTGTCCAAAATTAGTACATGTTTATTCATTTATATGTCCAGACAAAGGGCTCATTCAGAGCAAGCAGGCTTTCTTAATCCAATGGTTTTAATCAATTCTAAGGAAAAACTGGGTCAAAAGTCTGCAATAAAGCTTGTGTAATTCCTTACAATGTATTAACTGACATGACAGTTATATATCATGAGTCCAGTTAAGTTAGGAAATAGAACTTGATCATTAAACTCTGGTATTACATATGCAGTTGGAACGACTTATTCTGTAAAAGATTATTCTTTTATCAATAGGTACATTAATATTTTTCTTAGACTTCATTAGCATACCATGGACAGCAGAAGTTTCCCAAATCCATATCCAGAATACAGTGGAGATGCATCATCTGCCTTCACAGCTACTGGGCAGGTGAGTGTTTGTTTTTATTTTCCAAGTTTTAGCCATGGTGCCCCTATGGGGCTTTAACCCTTTATCCCCTCCCAGATGCTCCTTAACTGGGTCTTCAGCAAAATGGGCTTACCAATCACATGATCCCTGTGATTGGCTGTCACAGTGGTCACATGACCTGGTGCCCATCTTGGCATGCATTTGTATTCAGCCCCTTTACTCTGATACCCCTAACTACAATCTAGTGGAACCAATTGCCTTCAGAAGTCACCTAATTAGTAAAGAGTCCATCTGTGTATAATTTAATTGCAGTATAAATACAGCTGTTCTGTGAAGTCCTCAGAGGTTTGTTAGAGAACATTAGTGAACAAAGAGCATCATGAAGGCAAAGGAACACACCAGACAGGTCAGAAATAAAGTTGTGGAGAAGTTTTAAGTAGAGTTAGGTTATAAAAAAAAAATATCCCAAGCTTTGAACATCTCCCAGAGTACTGTTCAATCCATTAATCAAAAATGGAAAGAGTATGGCACAACTGCAAACCTACTAAGATCTGGCCGTCCACCTAAACTGACAGGTCTGGCAAGGAGAGCATTCATCAGAGAAGCAGCCAAGAGGCCCATGGTAACTTCTGGAGGAGCTACAGGGATCCACAGCTCAGGTGGGAGAATCTGTCCACAGGACAACTATTAGTCGTGCACTCCACAAATCTGGTCTTTATAAAAGAGTGGAAAGAAGAGAGCCATTGTTGAAAGAAAACCATAAGAAGTTCCATTTACAGTTTGCAAGAAGCCATGTGGGGGACACAGCAGCAAACGTGGAAGATGGTGCTCTGGTCAGATGAGGCCAAAATTTAACTTTTTGGCCTAAAATCAAAACGCTATGTGTGGCGGAAAACTAAGACTGCACATCACCCTGAACACACCATCCCCACCATGAAACGTGGTGGCAGCATCATGTTGTGGGGATGATTTTCTTCAGCAGGAACAGGGAAGCTGGTCAGAGTTGATGGGAAGGTGGATGGAGCCAAATACAGGGCAATCTTAAAAGAAAACCTGTTTCCACTTGGGGCAGAGGTTCACCTTCCAGCAGAACAACGACCCTAAACATACAGCAGGATCTACAATGGAATGGTTTAGATCAAAGCATATTCATGTGTTAGAATGACCCAAAGTACAGGCCTAAATCCAATTAAGAATCTGTGGCAGGACTTGAAAATTGCTGTTCACAGATGCTCTCCACCCAATCTGACAGAGCTTGAGCTATTTCGCACAGAAGAATGGGCAAAAATGTCACTCTCTAGATGTGTGCAAAGCTGGAAGAGACATACCCAAAAAGACTTGCAGCTGTAATTGCACGAAAGGGGGTTCTACAAAGTATTGACTCAGGGGGGCTGAATTTTTCAGATATTTATTTGTAAAAAAATTTGAAAACCATTTATCATTTTCCTTTCACTTTACAATTATGTACCACTTTGTGTTGGTTTATCACATAAAATCCTCCCTTCTATCTAAAATGAAAAAAAAAAAAAAAAAATGTTGCCTTCAGGCCCATTTCAGACGAACATTCCAGTTGGGCACACTTATCCGTTTTTCAGGCGGACCCAATCGGAATGTCCATTCTCCTTTATGGAGCGGCAGGTGTAAACGGACATGTCTGTTTACAGCCTCCTACATCCAATCCAATCAAATCCACTAAAGACAGATGGATGGGGATCAGTTCTTCTTCCATCCAGCGGATTGGATCAGATGGCAGACGGCCCGTTTACATTCAACCAACCATAGAGGAGAGCAGATCAAATCAAAATAAATAAAATAAGTCTTTTTAACAAATATACCAGTGTGCACATAAAGTCCGTGGTTATCTTGTAGCCACTATACTGTAAAGATGCGGTGCTCCTCAATTCCCCTCTTGTGATATACTCAAAGCAACATTTGTGTATCTCCACCAGTTTTGTCCTCATCTGGTGTACAGTCAGGTCCATAAATATTGGGACATCAACACAATTCTAACATTTTTGGCTCTATACACCACCACAATGGATTTGAAATGAAACGAACAAGATGTGCTTTAACTGCAGACTGTCAGCTTTAATTTGAGGGTATTTACATCCCAATCAGGTGAACGGTGTAGGAATTACAACAGTTTGCATATGTGCCTCCCACTTGTTAAGGGACCAAAAGTACTGGGACAATTGGCTTCTCAGCTGTTCCATGGCCAGGTGTGTGTTATTCTCTCATTATCCCAATTACAATGAGCAGATAAAAGGTCCAGAGTTCACTTCAAGTGTGCTATTTGCATTTGGAATCTGTTGCTGTGTCAACTCTCAAGATGAGATCCAAAGAGCTGTCACTATCAGTGAAGCAAGCCATCATTAGGCTGAAAAAACAAAACAAACCCATCAGAGAGATAGCAAAAACATTAGGCGTGGCCAAAACAACTGTTTGGAACATTCTTAAAAAGAAGGAACGCACCGGTGAGCTCAGCAACACCAAAAGACCCGGAAGACCACGCAAAACAACTGTGGTGGATGACCGAAGAATTCTTTCCCTGGTGAATAAAACACCCTTCACAACAGTTGGCCAGATCAAGAACACTCTCCAGGAGGTAGGTGTATGTGTGTCAAAGTCAACAATCAAGAGAAGACTTCACCAGAGTGAATACAGAGGGTTCACCACAAGATGTAAACCATTGGTGAGCCTCAAAAACAGGAAGGCCAGATTAGAGTTTGCCAAACGACATGTAAAAAAGCCTTCACAGTTCTGGAACAACATCCTATGGACGGATGAGACCAAGATCAACTTGTACCAGAGTGATGGGAAGAGAAGAGTATGGAGAAGGAAAGGAACTGCTCATGATCCTAAGCATACCACCTCATCTGTGAAGCATGGTGGTGGTAGTGTCATGGCGTGGGCATGTATGGCTGCCAATGGAACTGGTTCTCTTGTATTTATTGATGATGTGACTGCTGACAAAAGCAGCAGGATGAATTCTGAAGTGTTTCGGGAATATTATCTGCTCATATTCAGCCAAATGCTTCAGAACTCATTGGACGCCGCTTCACAGTGCAGATGGACAATGACCCAAAGCATACTGCAAAAGCAACCAAAGAGTTTTTTAAGGGAAAGAAGTGGAATGTTATGCAATGGGCAAGTCAATCACCTGACCTGAATCCGATTGAGCATGCATTTCACTTGCTGAAGACAAAACTGAAGGAAAATGCCCCAAGAACAAGCAGGAACTGAAGACAGTTGCAGTAGAGGCCTGGCAGAGCATCACCAGGGATGAAACCCGGCATCTGGTGATGTCTATGCATTCCAGACATCAGGCTGTAATTGACTGCAAAGGATTTGCAACCAGGTATTAAAAAGTGAAGGTTTGATTTATGATTATTATTCTGTCCCATTACTTTTGGTCCCTTAACAAGTGGGAGGCATATATGCAAACTGTTGTAATTCCTACACCGTTCACCTGATTTCGATGTAAATACACTCAAATTAAAGCTTACAGTCTGCAGTTAAAGCACATCTTATTCATTTAATTTCAAATCCATTGTGGTGGTGTATAGAGCCAAAAATGTTAGAATTGTGTTGATGTCCCAATAATATTTATGGACCTCACTGTATATGACCAAATCGTTAAGTGAGGTCATATAAAGCATGTGTCCCTTTAATTTGGACTGTGATGAGATGGGATTACTATCCAATGGGTCTGGGTCTCCTTCACTGCTCTAGTTGTCCTCCATCAGATTAGATGCCAAAAAAGATAATCAAAACATAGTGCTTAATCCTTATGAACTATTTCTTTAAAATGTACTATATTCCACTCACATTTATGTTAGTAGTATGCGCTTAATTTCAGTGCTACAAAGGCACTGTTGTCAGGGTAAACAGGTGGTCAGAAGCTCACTGGATAAAACATTGGAAATGTGTTTGTATTGCAAAGATGTACTGATTATGTGTTTTTATTTTGGCCAGACATACACTTTCAATGAACTTTTTGCTATGTTATGCACGGGCAAAACACATGATTCCTTGATGCCCGGTGTCAAATTTGTGTTAGTCATTTTTCAGCAAATTGCCATTTTTCACTAACAGCTAACTTACTTTTACTTATAGCTGACGCCTGATTTTAAAAATCAATTGAACAATAAAATCAGAGAGCTTCTACAACAAATGGAACATGGTTTGAAATCTGCAGATCCGAGAGACTTCACGGTGTACACAGGCTGGTCAGGTAAACCTTAAATAGGTACAGAGGCAGAACTAGAAAGAGATTTCAAGTATGCAGGAAAATGCCACCTCTTAGAGCACCATGGCCTTCTACTCATGTCCTGTGTGTTCCTGGTTTTGTTGTGAGTTCATAAATCAGCATATTGTTTTACTGCATGAGAGCAAATCGGAGAAAGGATTGGGCAGAAGTAGCGAGGACTATGAAGCAAAGACTTTATTACTGCATTTTCCTGTTGGCCCACATGCAAAAAGCAACTCTGTTGCTACAGTAAAAAAACATAAAACAGAGTCTTTGTGTGATGGCGGTGGCAGAAGGTGAGTTACATTTTAGCTCTCTTGAAAAACCACAAGCACTGCTTATAATATCCCACACATACCTCCCAACTGTCCCTAATTTGAAGCAAAGTCCCTCTGTCCCTCTTTTTTCCTCATTTTGTTCTGATCTACAGTTGCAAGAAAAAGTATGTGAACCCCATGGGGATTACGTGGAGTTTTGCATGAATTGGGCATAAAATGTGCTCTGAATGTCATCTAAGTAACAACACTGCTGAACATAATATACTACAAACATTATATGTCGCCATGGTTTAATTGCATATAACATGTAAACATTGTTGCAGGGAGGAAAAGTTGTAAACTTCTTAATAACTGGTTGCCAGCAATATACGTTGAATAGTAGATGGTGCACAAAAAAAAAACTCCTCTTCACAAAATTGTTTTTTTTGTGAATCGCTCTTAATTCTCCATTAAGAGGGCATTTCCATCGGGTTGCAGGGTCAGGTGTGTCTTACTCCAGAACGTATTCTGTGCTACAGCCATTGTTTTGCTAATTAGGTGTCCCTCGCATCACCCATCTTAAGAAGTTAGGATGGTATACGTTTTCCTGCAAAATGTCTTGATAAACTCTGGAATTCTCTTTTTTTGGTGACAACAACCTCCAGGCCCTGAGGCAGCAAAAACCTCACCAGCCTGCAGGGACCAATATCTCACACATAGGGAAGCAATCAGATCCACTGTATATTTTGCCAGTAGTGCTGTGGAACATCCAGGTGCTCTTTTCAAGAGAATGAATCTTCTTTTTTGACTCACCTTCCTCTGCATGTAAACTTATGCATTCTTGTTTAATCGTCCTTAGTATGTTTTACTTTAAAGCATGAGCCAGAGCTGTAGGTCTTTGCTGACACTCTTTCAATTTCTTTACCTAGAAGCATTCTGCCTGTGCTCTTGCAGTCATTTTTACAGAGAATGCCTGGAGAGCTTGTAAAATTTCTATCTTTTTACAAAGGCATTTATACTTTTGTAACCCTTTTACAAGTATCAAGTCTTCGCTCTTTTTGCGTGTTAATTGAAACCATAAACCCAAAACAGTTGCCGACCGCAGATAGCCAAATGACGGCTACACTCCTGGCTCCCAGTTCTGGGAGGCTAGGGCGTCACATACTTTTTCCTCCCTGACTGTGCTTTACATGCGTGCAATTAAACCATGGCAACGCTAATGTTTGTGGCGCAGACTGTGTTCATCTATTGTTGTGACTTAGATGACGCTGAGCACATTTTATGCCCAATTCATGCAAAACTCCATGTAATCCCGAAGGGGTTCACATACTTTTTCTTGCAACTGTATATAGTTGTACATAAAATGCACTATACACTATATCTTTAAAAAAAATGTGTTTCCCATGTGCTAAACCTTTCATCCAGTTGTCTAAATTGTTGCAGTTGACTTCAAAAGCCAGTTATAAATGAATAGTAATGGTAAAAAAAAGCATTTTTTTTGTTTCATTCTCCTTTGGCATGCAGGGAGTGTGTCTTATGCCTACATACATTTGCTAAAGGTGTCCCTCGCTCCCATCTTAAGAAGTTAGGAGGTATACCACACCTCATGTTTGGTATACCTCCTGCTGAAACCTCACCAGCCTGCAGGGGACCAATATCTCACACATGGAAGCATCAGATCCCAGTGATGCTGTAGCTCTTCAAGAGAATGAATGTTTGATTGACTCACCACCTGCAGTAAACTTATGCATTGAACGTTTAGTATGTTTTACGGAGCTGCATTTCTCCTAAAGCCTTCTCCCTGGCAGCAGCAACTTTTACAGAAAGAATGCCTGATGCTTGTAAAAGTATCTTTTACAAACATTTAGGGCATTTACCAATGTAATCAGGGCGCTTGTTAATTCATTTAACCAGTTGACCGCAGATAGCCAAATGACGGCTACACTGTGGCCGGCCAGTTCTGGGCGGGCGTCATATGACGCGCTCTGCTCCCTGGGGCCCATCCCATCGCTGTGTCCACCCTGATCACGTGATGTGCCCAGCTTTTTACCACGTGATCAGCCACCAATGACATGTGCACAGTTCTCGGCTGCACTTTCCCACCTGTGCCCAGTGCAGGGATTGCACCGATCATCAGGGCCTGTGCCCATCAGTGCCACCCACCAGTTCCACCCACCTGTGTGCAGCCAACCAGTGCACAGCGGTGCCACCCACCTGTGCCCAGTAGTGCCACCCACCTGTGCCCACAGTGTCACCCACCTGTGCCCATCATGTCACCCCAGTGCCCATCAGTGTCACCCACCTGTGCCCATTCAGTGTCACCCACCTGTGCCCATCAGTGCAGCCCAGCCAGTCAGTGCCCAGCAGTTGTGCCAGTCAGTGCCCCAGCAGTGCCGCCAGTCAGTGCTCAGCAGTGCCGCCTATCAGTTCCACCTCTTAGTGCCGCCTATTCGTGCCACCTCATTAGTGCTGCCTATCAGTGCTGCCTATCAGTGCCCATCAGTGTTGCCTATCAGTGCAGCCTCATCAACACACATCAGTAAAGGAGAAAAATTACCTGTTTGCTAAATTTTATAATAGAAACAAAGAAACCTTTTTTTTTATTTTTATTTTTTGCTCTTTTTTTGTTTATAGCGCAAAAAATAAAACCCCCAGCGGCAAGTAAATACCACCAAAAGAAAGCTCTATTTGTGAGAAAAAAATGATAAACATATCATATGGGTACAATGTTGCATGACCACGCAATTGTCATTCAAAGTGCGACAGCGCTGAAAGCTGAAAATTGGCCTGGTAAGGAAGGGGGTATAAGTGCCTGGTAGGCAAGTGGTTAATTGGCCAGAATAATATTTTTTTCTGGCCATTAAGATGAAATAATGCTTAAACGCGTCTAGTGTTAGCACACATTTACATGCTTCAAGCTTTTTTCTGCCATAACGCTGCTGCTCCTGGACGTACTGGCCCTGGGGGGAGTTTTTTCCTGCCTGTAAACGCCCCTTCCACTAAAAGTTCCTAGAAGTCTGTGTGCATGTGTAACATGGAGGGCAGTTTACAAGTAGTAAGAAAACACCTAACGCCCCTAAAAGTGGCTGCAAAAACACTCTGTGTGCATGAGGTCTTAATGTGTTCTCTGCCTCTTATAGGAATCTCCTTACTGTATCTTCACCTCTCTGAGGTGTATGGGGATCCATCATACTTGCAGAAAGCACAGGAATATGCCACCAAAAGCTTACGTTGCTTGAACAAACGAGATGTCACTTTTCCTTTGTGGAGATGCTGGACCTAGCGCAGTGGCATCTGTTATTTTCCATAAACTGGGATCTGCTCAGGAGGCAGATGATTGTGTGAACAGGTGAGACATCCAGATCTGATTTGCAAATGAATCTCTCTAAAACTGACCATACCCTGTACACTCTATTTAGATTACCCAAATTATGTTATATGAGGACACACCTAAACAATCCATTCAATTAGTATCTAATAATACAGACTCTTGCACTACATAGCTGATAGGTCCAAAAAAGATTGTTCAATCAGAATATATATATATATATATATATATATATATATATATATATATATATTATATATTTATAGGGTATGGTACCCATAGACATAGGTCACTTGATCAAACTAAACAGAATTCATCTCTGTGATTGACTTCCTTACGCAGCTGACTGCTTGCTGCAGACATTCTGATCTGTAACAAAATTGCCAGTCTGTGGCCAGGTTGTAGCATCCTTGCAAAACATATTCATTTTTGGGGGAACAGTTTAAAAGAAGCAAACAAAAAAATACTGATACTGACTTTTTATGATCGTATTTCCAGTCTCTGTTTATCAATATCTGATGGGCTAAGATATGTTGGATCATCGATACATGGCTCGATTTTTGGTAGGCTGGATCTAAAAGTCTTTCTTTGCCAATAATCAGACTTGTATTGCCACTCCAAAGTCTTTTTCAAATGGCCGCTCTGAAAGGGATTTGTGCCTCTAATGACCACTGGTAGGTTTGGGCCCCCCCGTTGAGCTCAAGAGACTGTTCTCTGTGAGAAAGAAATCCACGCACACCAGCTTCCAAAGAACAATCTAAATCTTTATTTCATTATACTCCCTTTATATTGTATCACAGAATGGAATTTTACTGGATACTTGTCAAGGCTGTGTATGTGAACAATTTAAATTTTCCCATGGAGCAAAAATGGTTAACTTTTAACTATCATAGTAGAAGCAGGTGGTGTTAGTACAAAAAAATAATTTGATACTATCCCTGCCTCTTCTTCCAAAGCTAAGATAAGAAACAAAAGAATATTGTGAGTACAGTTCTATAACACATACACAGCTTTTACATGCACGTCTTCATATTTTCATTAACTCATTCTGGGTATAATACAAAAGCAATTAATCAAAATGGAATACAAGAAACAACATGGAGTGGGGGGGAACAAAATGACCAAAAAAACATACATTTCCCTTCACGCTCAATGCCTTATTTCGTCATCATCTTGTTAGAGTAAATGATTGATAGAAGACAGAGAAGAAGTCTATGCAGAAACATATTTGTTGCACACTTTTACACATCGATAAATGCTATAACAGCATTTATAAATGTTTATGCACTGAACATGTTTTTGCATAAAGAATAGTAGTTGTTTGTGATGTCCTCATCAGCCTTCCACCTCTTTCACCTTTTATACAGACTTTTGATTACAAAAATATAAAAGGAAAAGAACCCAGCACATAGTGATGTTTACTACGTTCACCTCAGTGTATAGTAAGTAATGTATGCATATGTTGTTTACACAAACGAAGATGAAAAGATTACATTGATTTAGCACTTTAAGGCCTCATTCACACTGTAAACTCAAAGTTTTTTCCTGTACAGGAGTTCACAGCATCAAGAACACGATTAAAAGCCGGCATTTTGCATTTGTGTTAATGCGCGTTCCTACGTCTTTCTTTAATGCATTCTATTGCCCTAAATTCTGGCTATTACAATGCATTAATGTGGGAATGCATATTAATTTTTATTTTTTATTTTATCACAGGTACTTGTATAGCACTGTCAATTTATGCAGCGCTTTACATACATATATTGTACTTACTAGGGCCAATTTAGACAGGAGCCAATTAACCTACCAGCATGTCTTTGTGGGAGGAAACCAGAGTACCCGGAGGAAATCCACGCAGGCACAGGGAGAACATGCAAACTCCAAGCAGGTGGTTGGGATTCGAACCAGTGACCCTAGTACTGCCAGGCGGAAGTGCTAGCCATTTAGCCACTGTACTGCCCGACATTAACTGCCCGACATTAATGCCCACTAATATGCGTTTATGCACTTTTAGAGTTGAGTTTTTTATCCTTAAAAGTTCCTCTCCTGAATGCACAAGTGATGTTTTTTGTCTGCCTGTAAACCTCCCTGCCACTAAACTCCTGAAAATGTCTATAGTGTGCATGAACACATAGGCTATCATGGAGGGGAGTTTACAGGCAAAGAAAAACAAAGGCTCAAAACAGCTCAAAGGCCTGTAGGAGCAGATACATTGAACTGCAATCTGCATGAGGCCAACTGTAAGAAATTGATTTTTCAGCTCTCAAACAGGTGGTAGCTGTGAAAGACGAGATTGGTATTCATCACTAGGGGGCACTGCTGAACAACTTAGTGTGACTCTTCAGCGTTAATTTGTTGAATACAAGCCGTATTACTTTTTTGTCACTTAAAAAATTTTATTGATTTCAACAAAGAAGTGATACAGAGTAATAAAAGCATTTAGAACTGCTGTAATTAAATTTCTGAGCAGATGACATTCAGGTAACACACTATAGTCGTATATACAGGATACACATCAGTAAGAGATGGCGTGCATCCTTACTCTGGTATCCAGCCGTATTACTCTTTATATTGGAGTACACCTTTCCTCATAGAAACATGGGTATATTTATTGTTCATCGTCTCCTGTAGATGCTAGTTGTCTCTCTGTAATGATTTATGATCTGTTTTTTATACTTTGATTCAGACTCGGGACAAGTATGCAGGTCAGAAAAGTAAGCGTAAAGTTGGAAATCCTTGTACACATACTCATCCCAGGGCAGTCAGACACACATGGAGGTTTTCTTGCTAATAGAATATACCACGTAGTTTCTGATTTTAGACTTTCTAAAATTATTTTAAAGTTTAAACCAATGAACTATTATTATTATTATACAAGATTTATATAGCACCATCAGTTTGCTCAGTACTTTACAAAATAAAGGAAGACAATACAGCAACAATACAGTTCAATACAAGAGGGTTAGGAGGGCCCTGCTTCTTGGAGCTTACAACATAATAGCGAGATGCTGGTGGAGCAAAAGGTAATAACTGACGGATGAACTCATGAGAGAAATAGAAGATTTGGTTATTAACTGAAGGGAGGATAGGCTTACCTGAAGAGATAGGTTTTCAAGAATCGCCTAAAAGTGGACAGAGTCCTGAAAATACCTATAATGTGCATGGACACATAAGCTAACATGGAGGGGAGTTTACAGGCAGAGAAAAATAAAGGCTCAAAGCAACTTAAAGGCCCGTAGCAGCAGCTACTTTGAGCTGCAGTGTGCATGAGGCCAAAATGAATAGCGTTTCCCCCATTCCCACTTTCACATGACAAAATGCATTCCCTTTCTCCTTTTACTGGTGTGTATGTGTAGCATTTTTTTTAATAGAGCAGGAACAGTGTAACCATTTGAGTTGCAAAGGATGTTCAGTCCTGAGTGCACACTGGTTCGTTTTGGGCCGTGCACCCGCACAGATGTCAGATTGGGAGCATCGTCTATGTCTGTACAGTTGCTCTATCCCAATTGACATGAAAGGGACTGCCTGTACAAGGATGCACAGAACACCTGTGCATCCCCATGGGGGTAAACACAGCCCTCCATGAGTGCCCTATGTGAACAAAGCTATAGAGTGGCTATGATTTCATGTGTTGCTGCAACGTCACCTAGTGCAGAATCACCACACATACTGTATTTCCACTATTTTCACAGGCTGTAAGATGTATTCAGAAATGGACACCTCCAATAACTAGAGAATGCTGTGGAATTGTTCGCATTGCTGTGTAAACTGCCTCTGCCTTCAAGTCAATTTACACTGGACTTTTTTTTTTTCGTTTACTTGCTGCACTCTTCTTTTTTTGTTTTTAATTCTTCTATTTAAGAATTATGAATTATTACAAAGTAAGGAAATCATGGAAGAAACATTTACAGCAATAGAACAGTAATATACATTATTATATTATTAGTATATGCATTAGTATATTACTGTATATTACTCTACACTCTTCTTGTGTTTTCTCAGAAAGTCCTTCTAGTTCTTAATGGTTTACAGAATGATTAGCCTTTATGACATAGAGATCTGAGAGTGGAAGTGGTTTAGCAAAAGACAACAGGTAGGGCTGACACCACTCAGTCCACAAAAATTCTGCTCACAAAGTTTAAGAGCCGAGTGCATTTTTCATATTCTCTGTACTTGCAGTGACTTTACAGAAATACAATATAGGAAATGTGCATGTTTTGAAGAGATGCAGTGCATATGTCTTTTTTTTTGCTTTAACATATGCTTTAAAACTTCCAAATTAAAAAAAAAAACATGTATAACCCCTAACCTCTTTTTCACATGGCTTCAAATTAACAAATGCTTATTAATTATATTTCTATATATTATATGTGATTTTTGCTTCTTGTAGAGTACTGCAGATGCATCCAACTGTGATGAAGCTGGACTCCCAGCTACCAGATGAACTCGTGTATGGCCGTATGGGCTACCTTTATGCATTGTTGTTTATCAACAAGCATTTTGGGGACGGAAAGATACCTGTCCAGTATATCCAACAGGTAAGAGCCAGTTTTATGTCATAATCATCACTTTAATGTGAGATTCATACATTACTTTGATTTATTGTAGTGGTTCCCAAATTATGTGCTGCTGGTTACTGTAAACTGACCACTGCAATGCAACCTGGAAGGCAGGAGCCAATTGCAGGGTGGCAGTAAGTGCCAGTCACTGGAAAATCAGAGTATTCAAAGTCCCAGTATCAGTAGTCAATGAGAGGAATGGTGCCCCATCCTTGGAGCTCATTAATCAATAGGAGAAATATAGTGCCCATTATTGGTGTCAGTGCTAGGAATACAACACCGAACTCTGGCACTTACCATGCAGGCTCCATGTCTCATGCCAGTCCTCATGGTGACATCAAGGCCAGGAATATGGAGGCTTCCAATGGAAACATCTGTCCTGGTAAAGGCTATTTTGGAACCTACCCTCTTTTGTATAAATTTTCTGTAACTCCTGCTCTGTTTACACAACATGAAGTGATATGAAACCTCTCCGATGGAGTTTGTAATCACCCTTAAGAAAAATCTGTGCTAAAAAATGGATACTTCCTTTATTGACCTTCTTGCTTAATGCTAATTGCCAAATTGTTATTTCTGAATCCCCAACTTTCGTACTTTTGAGTCACTGAATTGGAATAAGCATGCAGCCAGTGAAGTCAAAGCAAAGGCCAACTCCTTTATTTAAGGATATAGTATTCATGTGCTGCCACAAATAAATGATAAGCTGCTGGAAGCACCTAAAATGTGTTCCCAAGAATAGTGCTACGCTGCCCGCTAGTGACCCAAAAAATAAACTAATAATAAACACACTTCTGAGCATCAAACCCAATGTGTAATTGAATAAATCTGTGAAACAAATAAAGTCAATAGTAAATAAACTTAACCGTAAAGAAACAAAAAAAAAAACTGTCAGAGCCACTAAATCCTAATGATATGTGAAACATACATGAAAAATAATCCATAATCAAGTAGCAATAAACACCTGTCTAACCTATAATAAACACCCGGCTGAGCTGAAGAATAAAGTTTAGAAAACAAGAACAGTAAAATATTTGAAACGTATATCAGAAAGAAAACACGATCACAATAGCAGTAAACACCTGGTCGAGCTGTAATAAACACTCAGCTGAGCTGAAACATAAAGTGTGAAAACGTGGCCTCCTTTGCGCCCCCAGGGGCACGCACACCCGGTGATTTCCATGATCATTCTGTCTTATGGACACAGTTGTTCATGTGATGTGGTAAAAGGCCAATCACAGCGGCCTTTTACCACGTGATCAGATGTGTCCAATGACACAGCAGATCACCAGGTAAATACAGTTGCTGGTTATCGGCTGCACTTTCCTCACGCTGTCACAGTGTGAGGAAAGTAGTGTCGATAACCAGCAATTGTCAACGAAAAGATCGGCGCTGATGATCAGTGCCCATCAGTGCCACCCACCTGTGCCCAGCAGTGCCGCCCATCAGTGTTGGCCACTCTATTCCTAGCAGTGCCATCAGGCAGTGCCGTCCATCGGTGCTGCCCATCAGTGCAGCATCATCAATGCCAGCTCATCAGTGCCGCCTATCCGTGCCACCTCATCAGTGCCCATCAGTGCTGCCTCATCAATGCACATCAGTGAAGGAGAAAAAATTACCCATTTGCAATATTTTATAAGAAAAACTTTTTTTTTTTTTTAATTTTGTGCTTTTTTGTTTATAGCACAAAAAATAAAACACACAGCGGCGATTAAATACCACCAAAAGAAAGCTCTATTTGTGTGGAAAAATGATAATTTCACATGGGTACAGTGTTGTATGAACGCGCAATTGTCATTCAAAGTGCAACAGCACTGAAAGCTGAAAATTGGCCTGGGCATGAATGGGGTATAAGTGGCCGGTAGGCAAGTGGTTAAATTATAAAACAAATGCCTGGCTGAGCAATCATTGGAATAAATATGTGATGAATCAAGTAAATGTTCAGCTGGGATAGATATTCACAAAAAGTGCGTAATAAAAAAAGATAAGCAGCCCTAGTGAATATATACAAAAAAGAGATAAATGGTTAATCATAGATAACACTTTATAAAGTGCAAAATGCAATCCAAATGTGATATAACAGTCTTTTTCTTCCAGTATTTAAAGTATTGCACCAGTGACTTCAACAAGTGTGCAAATTTATCATGCTGCTCCACCTTCAGGCATCCACACTCACCTTAACAGCTGACACATAGAAAATATAGTTCAACATGCGCTCAATGTTAATGCCACTGGATCCTCTGCTTCCACAGGTCTCTCCAGGCACTCTCAGGAACAATCCTTTACGTCCCCACTCCGATGGATAGGTGCTCAAAAGATAAGGAACAAGGAACTCCTCATAGTGTAGTAAGGCTTTACTACCATAAAAACGAATAAAAAAATGCCACTCACATAGATACAGGGTTCACAGAACCTATTACAAGCATTTAAGGGAAAAGCAGGGTGAACACAGATGGTGGCTCCCGTATGCACCAGAAAAGACGTCACAAGCTTCTGTCCTATGCGTTGACTTATATTTTTTTCCACAGAATTTTTCAAATTACACATTGGGTTTGATTCTCAGGAGGGTGTTTATTAGTTTATTCTTTGGGTCACTAGCAGGCAGCGCAGCAGCCCCTTTATTTACATACTTTTTGAATGCATGTGTTGAAGTCACTATATCAGCCTGAGAGGACACCGGCCTCTATATTTTTCTTAGCACAAATTTTGTATAAAGCAAACTTGGGATGAAGATTATTATTATTATACAGGATTTATATAGCGCCAACAGTTTGTGCAGCACTTTACAATATAAGGGAGACAGTACAATTACAATACATTTCAGTGCAGAAGGAATATGAGGGCCCTGCTTGTGGAGCTTACAATCTAAAGGAAGGGGGAGGTGATACAAAAGGTGATATCTGTGGGGGATAATCTGGTACAGGTGATTCAAGTACAGTTCTTAGGTGGAGGTGGGGTAGGCTGTTGTGGATGGCTTTGTAAGCTGTGGTTAGTATTTTGAATTTTATACGTTGGGTTATTGGAAGCCAGTGAAGGGATTGGCAGAGAGGGGCAGCAGTCGCTGATCGGTTGGTAAGGTGTATGAGTCTAGCAGCAGCATTCATAATAGACTGAAGGGGGGGATAGCCTGTGTAATGATAGACCAGTGAGGAGGGAGTTGCAGTAATCGAGGCGGGATATAACCAAGGCGTGGGTGAGTTGTTTTGTGGTGTCATTGGTCAGGAAGGGGAGGATTTTGGAAATGTTCCAGAGGTTGAGGCGGCAGGATTTAGCCAGTGAGTGGATGTGGGGCCCAAAGGAGAGGTCAGAGTCTAGGATTACACCTAGCACCCTGACAGGGGAAGGACAAATGGTTGTGCTGTTGATCTTAATGGTAAAGTCATGAGTGGGGGATCGGGGAGGAGGAAATATTACAAGCTCACTTTTTGAAAGATTGAGTTTGAGGTAGTGATGTGACATCCATGCTGATATGTCGCTTAGTAGATTTGTGATACGTGAGGAGGTTGAGGGGGTGAGCTGGGGAGTGGAGAGATAGATCTGGGTGTCATCAGCATAGAAGTGGTATTGGAAGCCATGGGAGGTTATCAGTTGGCCCAGGGAGGAGGTATAGAGAGAGAAAAGGAGGGGCCCAAGAACAGAACCTTAGGGCACCCCAACAGAAAGAGGAAGAGGAGCGGAGGAGGTGGAGTTGTATGTGATACTGAAAGTGCGCTGAGAAAGGTAAGAGGAGATAAAAGTAATAAACAGCTGCTGACTGCACATACCTTTTTAGTTTTATGAGTTGTGTGGTCAGCGACATTTATTGTTAGCTTTAATGGTGAAATGATGTGACTATGGTCTTTGGGGGTGGTATTATTCTTATAACTAGAATGATATACTAACTGATTAAGATTTCTGGGGTTTTTTTTGTGTCAGGTTTGTGACATTGTGATAAAATCTGGAGAAAACATGGCAGCTCACAAACAAATACAGAATCAGAGCCCCTTAATGTATGAATGGTACGGAGAACACTATGTGGGAGCAGCCCATGGCCTGGCAGGAATTTACTACTACTTAATGCAGGTGAGTTTACTATATGGTACAACTTGTACTATTCCATGCCATGCCATTGTTACTCAACAAGCTAGGAGCTCCCTGGATGGTGATGTTGGGCTTACAGAGGTCATTTATATAAATATATGAAAAGACTCAGAATTCAGTGTACAGTACCAGCACTGGTACAGCTCCTGTTGAAGTGGTTCTAAAGTCAAATCATTTTTTTTGCTTTAAAGCAATCTCTGCATTAGGGAAAAAAAAAAGTCCCGTTTGCAACATCTGCCTTGTTTCTGGATCTACAGGTTAATAGGTTTCACTATAAGTAGTCTTTGCTTATGCAGATTTGTATCTTATGCTAAGTTAGTACTGTATTGTCCAGGTTTGTGATAGGTCTCCATTAATTATACAAATTATTAAAACCCCAGAGCTTCTTTTATATTATCTCTGTGATTCCACATAAATGTAGATAGCAGCAGTACTTTACCAAACTGCTGCTGTGCCTCATCCTGAGAGGGAAGTTGGGTACATGCAAAAAACTTGTACATGAAACAAAGATGTTTTGGACTTGGAAAATTGACTGTTTTGGAGGTACAGCGAATATCTCTTAAACTTGCACTATATGGGTGATATTTGCACGGAATGCAGCCAACGACATCACCGGCACATGCACTCTAAAGGGACAGCATACTCATGCTGTACCTTAAGGGGTACGTGCGTGGACATAACTCCCACCAACATGCGAGGGAGTGACATCATCTCCACTCAGCCATTCATACAGCCAAAGCCCACGAAACCTGGAAAGAAGACCGGGTGAAGATGGAAGCCCTGTCACCGGTGGCAGCTTACTACTGGAGGGCTTCATTTTAAGGTAAGTATGCCATAATGTGTTCATTTGCAGTGCATACTAGCAAATTATTACATTAACTTGCAAATGGACTTTTATTTTTCTTTACATACTTGCTTTAAAAATACTGAAGACCAACTTCACAAATAAAATTGTCTCCTTACATATAAGCCTTAGCTTGTGTTTCAATACATATTTTTATCAGCAGGTGGTGGGTTTGGGAAATCTTTAGATTGCTGTAGGATTGGTGGGGGATACCTCTGTGTAGTAACATTTCCATGGTTCCTGGCTTATAATCCTGTATTTTAACCACTTCCTGTTCTACCCATGTACATAAACTGCCGGACGGGAGCAGTGCAGGAGCGGCTGGCCATTTATAAATGGCCTCTGCATTCACTGCCTGTGCGGACACAGCGGAACACCGATCGCTGTACGGGACCTCTGTGTGAGGTCTCGATTCATGTGATCAACGATTGGCCAATAAGGGATCACAGGAACAGTAGTAAACAGGATGTCACTTTCTGACATCATTGCTTACTACTTGTGAAATCTGTGAATGATCACAGAGGTCACATGATACAAGGCTATTCACAACAGCCTTGTACCATGTGACAAGCTGTGACCAATCACAGCTCTCACAGTATTTCTCAATGGCTGCAACAATGCAGCCAGAGAGAAGGAGAAATGATTGCTTTTACAGCCTTTATAGGTGTAAAAGCTATCAGTGTAAAAAAAGGAAAAAAAATCTTCATCGCCCCCCACAAGTAGTACAATGTCAGTATGGTGACACTGTACTGCTAGCATGACGGTATGTAAAAAAACAAAACATAAATAATATAAAAATAAAAGTGTAAAAAAATTTTTTTACTTTATAATTTTTGGTTATAAACTAATTTGAGTTATTTTTTTTTTACTAAAAAAAGATAGCTGAATACATTTTTGCCAAGATTTATGAAGAAAGATTATTTATTTGCAAAATTCTATCAGAAAAACACTTTTCTTTTCAAAATGTTTGCATTTTTTCATTTATATAGCAAAACAATAAAAATCCCAGTGGTGAATAAATACCACCAAAATAAAGTTTTATGTGTCTCAAAAAAAATGCTAAAAAACTCATATGGGTACAGTGTTTCATGACCGTGCAATTGTCATTCAAAGTGTGATAGTACTGAAAGCTGAAAATTGGCCTGGACAGGAAGGGGGTGAAAGTGTCCAGACTTGAAGTGGTTAAGTTGCAGACATGATTAAAAATATATATTTTTTTAACTTCAGGCTATGTGTAATGTAAGCAGCGAAAAGGTGCAGAGCCTTGTCCATCCCAGTGTAGACTACGTCAACCAGCTGAAGTTCCCATCTGGAAACTATCCTTCGTGCATTGGAGACAAGAGAGATCTGCTAGTACACTGGTGCCATGGTGCCCCTGGTGTTATTTATATGTTAATTCAAGCATATAAGGTGAGTAAATAAGTTTTGCTTAGTGTAAACAAGCATTTTTGTATATACAGTCAGGTCCATAAATATTGGGACATCGACACAATTCTAACATTTTTGGCTCTATACACCACCACAATAGATTTGAAATGAAACGAACAAGATGTGCTTTAACTGCAGACTGTCAGCTTTAATTTGAGGGTATTTACATCCAAATCAGGTGAACAGTGTTGGAATTACAACACTTTGCATATGTGCCTCCCACTTCTTAAGGGACCAAAAGTAATGGGACAGAATAATAATCATAAATCAAACTTTCACTTTTTAATACTTGGTTGCAAATCCTTTGCAGTCAATTACAGCCTGAAGTCTGGAACGCATAGACATCACCAGACGCTGGGTTTCATCCCTGGTGATGCTCTGCCAGGCCTCTACTGCAACTGTCTTCAGTTCCTGCTTGTTCTTGGGGCATTGTCCCTTCAGTTTTGTCTTCAGCAAGTGAAATGCATGCTCAATCGGATTCAGGTCAGGTGATTGACTTGGCCATTGCAGAACATTCCACTTCTTTCCCTTAAAAAACTCTTTGGTTGCTTTTGCAGTGTGCTTTGGGTCATTGTCCATCTGCACTGTGAAGCGGTGTCCAATGAGTTCTAAAGCATTTGGCTGAATATGAGCAGATAATATTCCCGAAACACTTCAGAATTCATCCTGCTGCTTTTGTCAGCAGTCACATCATCAATAAATACAAGAGAACCAGTTCCATTGGCAGCCATACATGCCCACGCCATGACACTACCACCACCATGCTTCACTGATGAGGTGGTATGCTTAGGATCATGAGCAGTTCCTTTCTTCTCCATACTCTTCTCTTCCCATCACTCTGGTACAAGTTGATCTCGGTCTCATCTGTCCATAGGATGTTGTTCCAGAACTGTGAAGGCTTTTTTAGATGTCGTTTGGCAAACTCTAATCTGGCCTTCCTGTTTTTGAGGCTCACCAATGGTTTACATCTTGTGGTGAACCCTCTGTATTCACTCTGGTGAAGTCTTCTCTTGATTGTTGACTTTGACACACATACACCTACCTCCTGGAGAGTGTTCCTGATCTGGCCAACTGTTGTGAAGGGTGTTTTCTTCACCAGGGAAAGAATTCTTCGGTCATCCACCACAGTTGTTTTGCGTGGTCTTCCGGGTCTTTCGGTGTTGCTGAGCTCACTGGTGCGTTCCTTCTTTTTAAGAATGTTCCAAACAGTTGTTTTGGCCACGCCCAATGTTTTTGCTATCTCTCTGATGGGTTTGTTTTGTTTTTTCAGCCTAATGATGGCTTGCTTCACTGATGGTGACAGCACTTTGGATCTCATCTTGAGAGTTGACAGCAACAGATTCCAAATGCAAATAGCACACTTGAAATGAACTCTGGACCTTTTATCTGCTCATTGTAATTGGGATAATGAGGGAATAACACACACCTGGCCATGGAACAGCTAAGAAGCCAATTGTCCCATTACTTTTGGTCCCTTAAAAAGTGGGAGGCACATATGCAAACTGTTGTAATTCCTACACTGTTCACCTGATTTGGATGTAAATACCCTCAAATAAAGCTGACAGTCTGCAGTTAAATTACATCTTGTTCGTTTCATTTCAAATCTCATTGTGGTGGTGTATAGAGCCAAAAATGTTAGAATTGTGTCCATGTCCCAATATTTATGGACCTGACTGTATACTGTTTTTATTGTAAACACATGCATGTATAAGGGTGCCAGAACTTCCAAATTGAACATATAATATTCCAAACATACGTATGCAAAGACATAATAATACAGTGTTCTGTAACATGTTACTGTGTTTCAGCCACTGAGCAGATCTTGTAAGGCAGTTTGCGGATACACCAGAAGATTTTTATTTCTCAGTTCAAATTAAACTTATCTATGGTCAAAATGTAAAATTATATATTTATTTCCACATTGTATGTCTGAAAAACATATACTGGATTGTCAAAAATAACTATTGTTTGTATTGCTTTTACAATGCTGATGTTATAAGATTATAAAAATATAATGTTATTAAATTAAAGGGTATGCTGTGACTATAGATTGCCCAATGGATGACATGAGATGGCATTCCTGTTGTGCTGGGTCCCAAAACCACATCCCATGCTGCTAAGCCTTGCCCCTTCACATTGTGTGGTGGGTAGTGCAGAGACCTGTACTATCACTGTGGTCAGAATATGAACTGTATTACCTCCCTGAGTATTTTCATATTATGAAATCAGAAGGACAAAGCAGCTGTGTGGTCAGTTCTACATATCAGCTAGATGCAGCTAAAACAGCTCCAAAATGAGTGTTCCCAGGGACAGTTTTAGAAGAGACTCAAAGAGCTTTAACCTATTTATGGGATCAGAAGTTCTACTCCATATTTTTAGGAACTGTTGTGTTTACTGAAAGAGACCTTGTTCTTGAGTAAGAGATAAAAAAAGACTGGTAATTCAGGCAGTGGTACAGTTCTGAATTTTGCTGTAATAGGCTGTGGCAGACACAAGGTAATCATTGCAAATGCGGATGCACTGATACCCTTTTTTTTTTTTTTGGCGAGTACGAGTACCGATACTTTCAGTCAAGTACTCGCCGATACTGAGCACCGATACTTTGCGGTGCAATTTGATACAAAGTGAATGAGCGCCAATTGCACTGCAAAGAATAGCACGCGTTTTGAACTGGAATTCAGTGCGATTCCTGTCCAAATCTCATTCGGTTTCCCCACCGCTCCTGATTTCTTACAGGAGCGGTGCGGGAAACCTCCTTGCACCAATCCCATGCTGTCACACAATGAAAAGACACTTCACAGGTCTGAAGATTTGAAATCCCCACGTCTTTCTTTGCTCTCCTTGCAGGAATGACAGTATGGGCTAGACGGCTTCTGATTGGTCAGTACCATGACTGTGCTGACCAATCAGAAGCTGTCTAGTCCACTGCAAGAGGAAAGAAAGCCGCTGGGATTTCAAATCCCCAGACCTGTGAAGTGGCTTTTTGTTGTGTGACTGCATGGGTGGTTTCCCGCACTGCTCCTGTGTGAACTCCTGTGGAAACCGCATGAAATTTGTACAGGAATCGCACCACATTCCTGGGCAACATGCACTCTCTTCTTTGCAATGCAATTTGCACCCATTCATTTTGTATGGAAGCAAATTACACCACAGAGTATCGGTTTTGAATATCAGAAGCATTTTGTCTCGTGAAAATACTCGGTGTCCGTATCAGTGCATCCCTAATTGCAAACAACATACAGTGAAGTAAATAAGTATTTGATCCCCTGCTGATTTTGAATGTTTGCCCACTCACAAAGAAATGATCATCCAAAAAATCGAATGGTAGGTGTATTGTAACACTGTGAGGCAGAATAGAAAACACAAAATTCAAAAGAAATGCATGTCTAACAAATTATGCACTGATTTGCATGTTCATGAGGGAAATAAGTATTTGATCCCCTTCACAAAACATGACTTAGTACTTGGTGGCAAATCCCTTGTTGGCAATCACGGAGGTCAGATGTTTCCTGTAGTTGGCCACCAGGTTCGCACACATCTCAGGAGGGATTTTGGCCCACTCCTCTTGGGAGATCCTCTCCAAGTCATTAAGGTTTGGTGGCTGACGTTTAACAACTCGAACTTTCAGCTCCCTCCACAGATCTTCAATCGGATTAAGGTCTGGAGACTAGCCACTCCAGGACCTTAATGTGCTTCTTCTTGAGCCACTCCTTTGTTGCCTTGGCCGTGTGTTTTGGGTCATTGTCATGCTGGAACACCCATCCACGACCCATTTTCAATGCTCTGGCTTAGGGAAAAAGGTTTTCACCCAAGATTTGATGGTACATTACCCCGTCCACTGTCCCGTGCAGTTGTCCTGTCCCCTTAGCAGAAAAACACCCCCAAAGCAGAATGTTTCCACCACCATGTTTGACAGTTGGGATGGTTTTCTTGGGGTCATAGGCAGCATTCCTCCTCCTCCTCCAAACACGGCGAGTTGAGTTGATGCCAAAGAGCTCGATTTTGGTCTCATCTGACCACAACACTTTCAATCAGTCCTCCTCTGCATCATTCAGATGTTCAGTGGCAAAGTTCAGACAGGCCTGGACATGTGCTTTCTTGAGAAGAGGGACCTTACGGGCACTGCAGGATTTCAGTCCTTGTCGGCGTAGTGTGTGTGCCAATTGTTTTCTTGGTGACTGCTGTCCCAGCTGCCTGGAGATCATTGACAAGATCCTTACGTGTAGTTCTGGGATGGTTCCTCACTGTTTTCATGATCATTGACATTCCACGAGGTGAGATCTTGCATGTTGCACCAGACCTAGGGAGACTGACAGTTGTTTTGTGTTTCTTCCATTTGCGAATGATTGCACCAACTGTTGTCACCTTCTCACCAAGCTGCTTGGCAATAGTTTGGTAGCCCAGTCCAGCCTTGTGTAGGTCTACAATCTTGTCCCTGACATCCTTGGACAGCTCTTTAGTCTTTGCCATGGTGGAGAGTTTGGAATCTGATTGTTTGATTGTTTCTGTGAACAGGTGTCTTTTATACAGGTAACAAAATGAGATTAGCAAAACTCAATTTAAGAGACTGCTTCTAATCTCAGCTTGTTACCTGTATGAAAGACACCTGGTAGCCAGAAATCCTGCTGAATGATAGGGGATCAAATATTTATTTCCCTCATGAACATGCAAATCAGTGCATAATTTGTTAGAAATGCATTTTTTTTTAATTTTATGTTGCTATTCTGTCTCTGTGTTACAATACACCTACCATTCGATTTTTAGACTGATCATTTCTTTGTGAGTGGGCAAACATTCAAAATTAGCAGGGGATTAAATACTTATTTCCTTCACTGTAAATCAGGTTTTATGCATTTTTTCTAGGATTGCACTACATAAAGGATAAACCTGGCAATTTGGAAGTATAGTTTAAAGGTCCATTAAGTTCTGCTTCTCTTTCTCTGTAAATTATTGTTTGTGATTTTGCTTTGTAGATTTTCAAAGATGAGCGGTACTTGTCAGCTGCAGACCAGTGCACTGATATCTCCTGGCATCGAGGCTTATTGAAGAAGGGTTACGGGATATGCCATGGAGCAGCTGGGAATGCTTATTGTTTCCTTGCAATGTACAACCTGACACATGATCTGAAGTATTTATACAGAGCATGCAAGGTATTTGTCCCATCTAGATTGTCTACAGTGCATTAAGGTGTAATGGTTTTGTTATTGATGCAAAGGTCTGTGGCTGGAAGTGAACATTTCAGGATTTAATAAAACCCTACACTAAAGTGCAGACATTCACATATGAAAGGAAATCCGCTGAAATAAATTGTAATTGTGTAAACTGTTATTGTGCTAATTCATTTGTGTGTTAAGGATCCAAAGCTACATTTCAGGTGATGGTTTAAAATATCCCCTCGCTTTTTTTTATTTATGCATTGGGTTCTCCCTTCCCACAAATCTGGAAGTCTGCTTTTGCAGTGAATTGAGTCTTAAAAGTGTTACTAAACCCAGGACCCAGCATTCACTATATCTGGTCTCCCACAGTACACAGAACATGGAAATGCTCTTATTTTAGTAAATATAAACTGCTAAATACCTCATCAGTAGTTAGAGCAGTCTTGTGTTTGTATCAGTGTCCAGCAGAGCACTGGTTAAAGCTTGTAGTAGGAGTTTTCATTTTGCTCTAGGAGAATGCTAAACCCATGACCTCTGTCTGGACAGTGCTGATTGGCCCTGTGCTGATCACATGCACTCTCCCAAGAAAAAAAAAAAAAACTCTACCAATACACACCAAACCGAGCATGTGCAGAGTGATGCCATGTGATATGCCTTATCAGGAAATAAGAGATGGACACTGGAAGACAGGGAGGATAGAAGTCAGGATCAAACTGCTTTTTTACACAATGCAGAGGATTAACCCCTTAGGTTCCACAGTGAGTATAACAAGCATGCTTCACTGCATATACAGACTGATTTTACTGTTGTGGGTTTAGTAACACTTTAATGGAAAAAAGTTTTTAAGAGGGAGATATGTATTTAAAACTGCAAGTTGGAGCTAAAGGGTGATTTAAAGCTGAACTACAGGTAAGTAAATATCATCTAAATACGAGAGTCGTATTTGTGTATTTATTCCAGATCTGTGCAGTAATCCAACATGAAAGTTTGCCTGTGTGCAATGGCTTCCTGTAGTAAACACCAGTCACTGCTGCTCTCTCCTTTTGTTGGGTGACTGGGTCTGCTGGGCACCTCCACAGCCCTGCTTTATGCACAAGCTATATACAGCACAAGTGATGAGGTTACTGCTACTCTACAAGGTAATATCTGGGTTTACAAAGGAAATCAGCACACACAAAGTGGATTTAAATCCTTCGTGTCTATTGAGGAATATATTTCAATTAAGTTTTTGCTTCTGGAGTTCAGCTTTAAAGTGGACCTGTATTTGGCCCATACTGGAAAATGTGACAGGTTTACTTAACATGGAGGATTTTAAGGACGCTCTCTTTATTTTTAATTTTTTTTTACATTTTTTGTGTGCAATCCGCTGCTGTAAATTAAATACTCTGTATTCCCACACTGCTAGGCTTTTGCACTGCTAATGTACTTTATACACTGTGCAATGCAGAACTGCATTCAGCGTGCTGTACATTATATATTTCATACTGCTCAGCTGAATACCCTATGCTGAATATTATGTACACCATACGATCAGCTGTATACAAAGTGTTTTAGGTTATGTACATCAAACTGCCTAGGTTTAGGTACTTTGCTTATATTATATACAGCTTAGCTATATGTACTGGGCTGCACATTAACCACTTGACCTCCAGAGGATTTACCCCCCTTAATGACCAGGCCTCTTTTTGCTACCCAGCGCTGCACTAATTCAACTGATAATTGCGCGGTCATGCAATGCTGCACCCAAACGAAATTTACGTCCTTTTTTTCACACAAATAAAGCTTTCTTTTGGTGGTATTTGATCACCTGTGCGCTTTTTATTTTTCACACTATAAACAAAAAAATGCCAAAAATTTTTAAGAAAAACAATATTTTTTACTTTCAGCTATAAAAAATAATTAGTAAACTCAAAGTTGGTTATCAATTTAGGCCAAAATGTATTCTGCTACATGTTTTGGTAAAAAAAATCCCAATAAGTGTATATTGATTGCTTTGTGTGAAAGTTATAGCGTCTACAAACTATGGTATAGATACTGCAATTTACGCCATTTTTTTTGCTATAAAGCGCTGCGCTAGTTTACTGGACAATTGCGCGGTCATGCAATATGGTACATAAATGAAATTTACATCCTTTTTTTCCCACAAATTGAGCTTTCTTTTGGTGGTATTTGATCGCCTGTGCGGTTTTTATTTTTTGCGCTATAAAAAAAAAGGCTGACAATTTTGAGGAAAAAAAACAATATTTTGGACTTTTTGCTATAAAACATGTCCAGTAAAAAAAAAATGTCAAAATCAAATTTAGTCATAAATTTTGGCCAAAATGCATTCTGCTAAAAAAAAAAAAAACCCAATACGTGTAAATTAATTGGTTTACGTGAAAGTTATAGTGTTTACAAATGGCGGGAAAGATACTGGGGTTTTTTTTTTTTGTATACTAATAATGGCGGCGATCAGCGACTTATGGCGGCGATCAGGGACTTATGGCGGCGATCAGCTACTTATGGCGGGACTGCAGCGGACATTCTGACACTGGGGGGGTACTGACTTGGGGTCACTGACATCCCCAGTGACACCAATACGGTGATCAGTGCAAAAAAAAAAAAACACTGCCACTGTACTAATGGCACTGGGGAGGAAGGGGTTAAGTTTATTTTGCAGGGAAGGGTTATCTGTGTGAGGGGGAGTGTTTTACTAGGGGACAGGGTGTGTACTGCAGGGGACATGGCTGATTGGGAGAGTGAAACTCTTCTGTCCCGATCAGCTTGTCCTCGAGCTGTAAGGGAAGTGACAGAAAGCACAGCTATTGCAGCTGTGCTCTCTGTCACTGATTGCCGCCGATCACCGGGAGATAGCCGGTAAGGACCGGCTGTGACCCGGCGACTGACATCCGTGGTTGTGATCGGCGGGACAGGTAGGGCGGCGGCGCGCCTCGCGCACCCCCTACCTGTTTACAAAACACACGTTTTAAAACGTGGTTTTGCCTGCCCGTGCCGCCCTGCTGTCGTATTTCTACAGTGACAGGGCGGCAAGTGGTTAAACACTACACAATGCTTTGCTCTATATACTATATTGTTCTATATACACTATACTGCTGATAGGATAATTGGCTCCTGTCTGAATTGGCCTCGGCATGTATATGTACACCTTAGATTGTGCACTCCTTGAGGGCAGGAAACTGATGTAAATACATATATTGTGCAGTACTTTGTAAATGTATGGTGCTATATAAATACGTGGAATAAACTGCACTGTACACTGCTGCTTCGCTCTATCAACTGAAAAAAAGAATATATTTCCCTCTGCTCGACTTTATGTTCTAATCTCCATTTTACACCTGATGCTGCTCCACTGTACAGATTATGTGGTACATCATAGACACAGATACTGCACGATACTGGTTCTTATCCAGTGTAATGTGTGTTTATAAAAATAGTTGTAGAAAACAGTACAGCGCTATGACCGATTACACAATATTGTACATATGTGAAATTCTTAAAGTTAACCACACGTGGCAAATTGCTAGTCAATTGTGACCCATTGAACACCATACAGTGTCTATATAAAGTCCACACAAGAAAGAAAAAAGAATGCTCTGTTCAAATCTTCCAAACATGAACACCAATGTGCAAAATAGGAATAAATTAGTGCACTCAGAAATAGGACCACACTCCAGCTTCTTACCAGATCATGTTGACCATTATATATATAAGTGGTCAATCAGTGCATGAGGGATTAACAACTCCCAGTGGTTCACATGTCTCCTTCACAGATCAAATACCAGGGTATACAACCAAAGTAACTTTAAAAAAAAAAGATACGGGGCGATTCCATAACATAATACCATATAGACTATAAGTGTAGCCAGAGTGCAGTTGGGAATAGTAGGGGTGAACCTTTTACCAGGTGATTACCAGGAAGCAGTCGTCATCCAGGTCCTTCACCATCACACAATTCTCCGACATAACAACAAGGTCTTCTACGTATTGGGCTTTTCTGGACCCAAATAATCCAGATTATATTTGTACACCTCCAGGGCTTGTTCTTCCATGACCTGGCCTCTGGATTCCAAGGACGAGGCCAGGTCATGAAAGGGCGAGCCCTGGAGGTGTATGATATAATCCAGAAAATCCCAATACATAGAAGACCTCGATATTGTGTCAGAGTGTTATGTGACGGTTGAGGACCTGGATGATGATTGCTTCCTGGTGATCATAACGTTCACCCCTACCATTCCCCACTGCTCTCTAGCCACACTTATAATCGATATGGTATTACGTTATGGGATCGCCCTGTATCTTCTTTTTATGACAGTTACTTTGATTGTATACCTTTGCTTTTGATCCATGGAGGAGACATGTGCCACTGGGAGTTATTAACCCTTCATGCATTGGTTGACCATTTATATTCATGATGGTCAACAAGATCTGGTAAGAAGCTGAGTGAGGTCCTATCTCTGGATGCACTGATCTATTCCTAATTTGCACACTAGTGTTCACGCTTGGAAGATTAGAACAGCACATTCTTTTTTTCTATTTTGTGTGGACTTCATAGATGCTGTATGGTGATCAATGGGTCACAAGTGAGTAGCAATTTTCCACGTGCGGTTAACTTTAAGAATTTCACATATGTACAATATTGTGTAATATGTCATAGCGTTGCACTGTCTTTCACAATTATTTTTCTAAATACACATTCCATAGGATAAGGGTCACAACTGACTAGTAATTTGTCACCTGCAGTTAAAGTGTTACTAAACCCAGGACCCTGCATTCTCTATATCTGGTTTTCCACAATATAACGGAACGTGGAAATGCAATTATTTTACCGTAGCAATACACACCAATCTGAGCATGTGCAGAGTGTCTCCACACAATATATCTTAACAGGAGGGGAACACTGGAAGAAGGGGAGGATCAGAGAAGTCAGGATCAAACAGCCTTTTTACACAATGCAGAGCATTAACCCCTTAGGGTCTACAGTGAGTATAACAAGTATGCTTTACTGTATATGCAGAATGATTTTACTGTTGTGGGTTTAGTAACACTTTAACCTTATTTAGGAATGTCACATATGTACAATGTTAGGTAATATGTCATAGCAGTGCACTCTTTTTTTAATAATTATTTTAGTTTGATATCAAATTTCTTGTGCTGTCACCTTTTTATTTTTTTTTTTTTTTGCATTTTTCACCTAAAGCGCAGTTAATTTTTTTCCATTTTGAATACAGTGGTATGTGTACACCAGTTGGTACTTCGAGTCTTACGTTTACATAATAGTTTATAGTCAACAAATAATCACAAGTAAAACAAATATGAATACATATTTTAGATATTTACATACAGTATGTTAGGAACTGCTGAGAAAAGCATGAGACAAATAATCTGTTTGCCATTACAACCATCTTTCCTATTTTATCTGAATAAATGCTCTATTTTCATGCTAACCTGGAGTTGTCTTTTGCTAGTTTGCAGAATGGTGTTTGGATTATGGTAAACATGGCTGCAGGACTCCAGACACCCCATTTTCACTATTTGAAGGTAAGATGTAGTGATTTTGTCTCCTTGAATTTAAAAATAAGGCTTGCAATCTCTACTAGAAAACACAATGCCATCTGTGAAATTTTTTTGATTTGGGGAGGTGAGGGAGTGTATGAACCGTATTCCTCCTATGTTTCAATGACTCATTGTAGGAAGGATCTAGTACACTGGTTTCTCTAGACTTCTTTATGGGTGACAACCATTACAGTGACCTAGAAGTTGTTCAGGTCAGAGTGCAGGGATAATCTTAATTTAGATAGCAAATTGAGATCCACACTCACTGCACTTATTTCTGAAGTTTTGCTACATAGAAGCCCGTCTTCCATATGTTCATGAAAGCTAAAAGCAGAATTTCTGACATTACCATAGTAGCCCCCAACCCTTCTAATGAATTCCCTAGGAAGATTTTGTTTCATTTGCATGGGACTACATGTAATTGCATGCTTTCCCATCAAAAACACGCTGCTGTTAGCAGACGCACAGGAATGTCTATGTGGTATCCTAGCAGTTGTGATTTTAGAAAATGTGTAGAAACCTTTTCCCTGTTTTTTTCATAGGTACAGCAGTCCGTTCAAACACAAACACAATTTCTTTTTGAAATACAGTTTCTTAATCTATTGATTAATTTTTGCTATGCCCATAAAATCATAAAACATTTTTATACCAGTTAAAACTGGCTTTATCTAGGCTAATACAAAAAACAGTTCCAAATGCATAAATGAATTCAGTGTCTTCTGGGCTAGCATTCCTGCAACAGAGCTCACTAGCATGATGTATTTGCAATGCTTTCCAAAATGTGGTTACTTTAGAAATCCTGGTGATGTCATCTCTGATATCATATGGATTTCTTGTGTCTGTTTTGCTGCCAAGAAGAGGTGATAACAGCAGCAAATCACTACAGAGGTGATATTTTATTTACTAATGATGACATCTTGTAAGTGGTCTGTTGCTGTAGAGGTGCACAAAGGAGCTGCATCCAGGCCTCAATAGAGAAAAAAGTAGGAAAGTTATTAAAAAAAAAAAAGCTTAATCTTCCCTCTGAAGTCTGTTTAAGCTGGAAATGAGATGCTGTGACTTTTCCTTCAGCAAATAAATTATGGAGTTCAGGATTCTGATGAAGAAGACTAAATGTTATTTTCTTTCTTTATCTACAGGGATGGCTGGCACAATTTATTTTCTAGCAGACTTGCTGGATCCGACAAAAGCCAAGTTTCCTGCATTTGAGATATAATAGTTTTTGTTCTGTTCAGTGCAGTACTGGAAATGAGGAATTTTGTTGCTGTTTCTGTTGCTTTCTTGATACCCCCAGAAGAGGCAGTTAATGGCTCTAAGCTTGCTTGCTTCATCATAGATGTTGCTTGTAGCTGTAATACACTGAATACTCTGTTAAGCTAAAAGGCTTTGTATTTATACGTACTGTACAAAGTACACAAGGGAATGAGATCTGCTCTCCATAGTACAGTATGAAAGCTGCCTTACCCTACTTACCTCCAGAAGCAACACCAGTCTGTCTGAAAAATTTAACCTGATGTTTATAAAGAAGTGGTAAATAACTAATAAAAACCAGTTAACACTGTTAATAGCAGCTGAACAGTAAATGAAGTCCACTTGCAAAATATGACAGGGGTAGCACCATGGCAGCTTGGCGTTGTTCCAAATTTATATATGCGTACTACTGAAGAGAAGGATTCACTGAATAAAGTAGCTAAGATTTAAAATCCCTGTATATATGAATGTCATGGTGTTAGAAGCTTTCCATAACCTAATATCTAATATCTTCTTATTAACAGTACTAACATAAGTATGAATGAGTTGGATCTTAATAGAATAATTGAGTTATTATATTTATATTTGTTCTAGATTGGGAAAAGTAAGGAATTAGACTTCATAGTCTGTGAATATACATATGAACATATATCTTGGGTTTTTCCTTTACATTCAAGCCACATATGAGAGCAATTAGCTATACCTTCCCCCATCCTCCCCCATCTATGTAAGAGATTATATGTTTCACTAACTAGTGAATTGTTCGGTTTACAAGGTTTATACTGTAATATTTCTTGATTACGATATTTATATACGAGATAACTCTTAGTAAGATTACTTTTAGGAGAATATATATATATATATATATATATATATATATATATATATGTATGTGTTATACATCTAATGTATTCTAATTGATGGAATGTCAGTGAAGTTTTGTCTAGGCCTTCTTAGGTTACGCTCAGACTTTAGGAGAAGTAGACTGGAGGTTTGTTATATATACACATCTGTTTCCAATTATCTTTGTGGGACTACAAGTATACCAGCCCATTTTTAGGAAAGGTGGGGGCTGGATTGCTCTTTCTAGAGCAGGACAAAGGTTTAAATCATTCTTTGGGCAGCAAGGCGAAGGGAGCTGCTTGCTCATATCCACACACATTCATATTATACACACACAATTACATACAATTTTATTATTAAGAACTTAACTATACTTTTTGGACTTTATTTAAACATTCTGTATTCCAATATTTTATTTCTAATTTTATGCAACATTATAATTAAATCAGCTTTTTGAGTTTATGCAAGAAGTGGAAGGACTTTCTATCTAAACATTTCTCATCAATACAAGTTAATAAAATATCGAGACAATACGATATTTTACACATGGCGGCACCAAAACAGTAAGCATACTTTCATACTTGTGTGTGTAGCTTTTCAATAATAATGGAATTATATACAGTAATGTAGACATGTTAACGTCAGTGTTTAGTGGAGGTGTTCTTTCACTGCAACCTAGTCACTTATTGCAACCTTAATAAGTATGGGTAATTGCGAGCTCAAGTATATAATAAGCAGCCAGCATAAAAAGGTAAACCTCTACACCTCGAAAAAGTAAATAAATATAATAAATATATGCAGCGCGCTAAAAATAATCGGACAATAAATAGTAGTATAAAACCAATCAAATATAGTAGTGAGCGCTAATGGGGCGCATATTTAGTGATGAGGTGACATTACGTCTTATGATGACGCATCAAAATGCAAAGAGATAATAATAAGTAAATGATGTGACAAGAGTGAAATAGTTCATTCAGATCAATATATTGCAGGTCCAGGAGAAAGAGTAATAATCAGTGTTCCGTGCTGGTGAGCTTCAGTGACGAGGACCAGTAAACTTATGCTCTTTCCAGAAGCTCATTAGTATTGCGCATATAAATGATGCATCCTGTAAGGGGTCATCTGGATCTGGGCAGGGGCTGCGAGGCCATCAAGTATAACATGGACACTTAGGATGGTACTGCTATCACACAGGCCACACTCTGCTCATATCACCTCCAGAGACAGCTCCAAGACATCCGCCAGTAATGGTTCCAGATACAGGAGTTTCCACCTTTAAGGAGCTCATAAGTAATGAGCCAAAGACAGATGGGTGCCAAAAGTGTAGTATTTTTATTGAAGATTAGGCAGAAATCCAGTAAAAGGTGCATGAGAAACTCACATGTGGTTTGGGTATACAAAACTAATAGTTTATTATCCCGTAGACTCTTCTCCACCATGTTTTGATCAAACGTTTGTATATTATTTATATCTTTTGCGACTCTGATTTGTACCCAAGTTAAAAACCACTTCACCGGTTTCCTGTTTTTTATGTCATAATATCTGGGGATTTTGGTGGCTGTTCACAGTCTACATTGTGCCCGGAGAGTTGGTGACATAGCATCTCTCCTTCCAGCTCGTCCTACTCGCGCACCCGCACTGCGTTGTGCCCAGAGAGCAGGGTGACGTAGCGTCCCTCCTCCTGTCTTGTCCCACTCGCACATGCATGTTAACCCGTTATGACGCGGGCGGCTATTTAAGTTCTGGCATCCTCTGGGTAGACTCACCCCTTTGAGAATGTGCTGGTGCACGAAATGTGTCAGGGAGGAGCCTATCAGAGTGACGTCATGCTGCACACGTCCACGAGGACGGCCAGCGGCCATCTTTGTATACCCAAACCACATGTGAGTTTCTCATGCACCTTTTACTGGATTTCTGCCTAATCGTCAATAAAAATACTACACTATTGGCCCCCATCTGTCTTTGGCTCATTACTTATGAGCCCCTTAAAGGTGGAAACCCCTGTATCTGGAACCATTACTGGCTGATGTCTTGGAGCTGTCTCTGGAGGTGATATGAGCAGAGTGTGACCTGTGTGATAGCAGTACCATCCTGAGTGTCCATGTTATGCTTAATGACCCCGTAGCCCCTGCCCAGATCCAGATGACCCCTTACAGGATAAATCATATATATGCGCAATACTAATGCACTTCTGGTAAGTGCATAAGTTTACTGGTCCTCGTCGTCACTGAAGCTCACCAGCACGGAACACCGATTATTACTATTTCTCCTGGACCTGCAATATATTGATCTGAATGAACTATTTCACTCTTGTCACATCATTTACTTATTATTATCTCTTTGCATTTTGATACGTCATCATCAGATGTAATATCACCTCATCACTAAATATGCGCCTCATTAGCGCTCACTAATATATATGATTGGTTTTCTACTACTATTTATTGTCCTATTATATTTAGCGCTCCATATATTATATTTATTTGCTTATTGCAACCTGCCATGCTTGTGATATTTGCCATGTAAGAGGTCTGTCTCACTAATGTGTGAGCAGTGCATTATTCCTCTATAATTAGGATACTAACACATTACTTAAATGTTGCAGTTCATATTTTTCATTGTGATTTGGGGAATTTGGACACAAGGTTTTCAGATAAGATGTTCCATTCTTTGATCTTTCTACTCTGATAAACTGTAATGAGTTTGTCCATGCACACTGCTGGTTATCTTAGCTGAGCTGAAGAAGCACTTTTTTGTGGCACAAATAATGTATTCATTTACTGCAATCAATAGATAAAAGGTGCCTGTAGACAGTGCATTGTAATTGCTGTGGTAAAAATTAACTGAAAAAAAATATTTTTTTTTAACCCCAATTTATCAACTATATCACATTTGTAGCAAAGGCTACAGGCTAAAAAGGTGAATGTGTACTTTTCGGCATTGGAAATAGCAGAATATTGTTTAGGTGCCCAGTGAAAACTTTTTTAGCCCAAATTCATATATTTTAAAAGTTTATACCCAATTTATTGCTCTGCTGTAAAAAAAAAAAAAAAAAAAAGTAAAGATAATTTGTTTAACTCTTCTTACACTCTTTATGGATACTATAACTCTAAGAAGTTGCAAGCCATTGCTAATATTAAGTTCCTTACTGTAAACCTGTCATCCTTCCCAAATACCGTATTTTTCGCTCCATAAGACACACTTTTTCCCCCCAAAAAAGGGAGGAAATTGTCAGTGCGTCTTATGGAGTGAATATGGAGCGGCCGGTCCGGTATTTCCGCCGCCGCAACCGTGTCAGAATACCGGGCTGGCTGCTCAGCTCTTCTCTGCAGCAGGACCTTACCTGTTCCTCGGTCCAGCGCTGTACAGTCTTCCCGCGCCGGCATCTGTGACAGCTGGGTGCCCACTGCGAATGCGTGAGAAGCACTGGGCTTTGTGAATGGTCCGGCATCTTTTGGGACACATGACAGGTCCCAGAAGACACCGGGCAATTCACAAAGCGCAGCGCTTCTTGTGCATGTGCAGTGGGCACCCAGCTGTCACACTAAAGGGAGGACAACTTTGCGGAAGTGGGCGCGGGTACCTGTCAAATTCAGGTACCTGCTCCCCCTCCTTCCCCAAAGGTCCGCAGTCTCTTGGTCATCCCCTGTACTGTCTGCAGTCTCTGGTCATCCCCTGTACTGTCTGCAGTCTCTGGTCATCCCCTGTACTGTCTGCAGTCTCAGGTCATCTCCTGTACTGTCTGCAGTCTCTGGTCATCTCCTGTACTGTGTTCGCAGTCTCTGGTTCTGTACTGTGTCCGCAGTCTCTGGTCATCTCCTGTACTCCGCATTCAGTCTCTGGTCCATCTCCTTACTCTGTGTCCGCAGTCTCTGGTCATCTCCTGTACTGTGTCCGCAGTCTCTGGTCATCTCCTGTACTGTGTCCGCAGTCCTCTGGTCATCTCCTGTACTGTGTCCTGGCATCTCTGTACTGGTCAGTCTCTGGTCATCTCCTGTACTGTGTCCGCAGTCTCTGGTCATCTCCTGTACTGTGTCTGGTCATCCTGTACTGTGTCCTCTGGTCATCTCCTGTATCTCTGGTCATCTCCTGTACTGTGTCCGCAGTCTCTGGTCATCTCCTGTACTGTGTCCGCAGTCTCTGGTCATCCGCAGTCTCTGGTACTGTGTCCGCAGTCTCTGGTCATCTCCTGTACTGTGTCCGCAGTCTCTGCAGTCTCTGGTCATCTCCTGTACTGTGTCCGCAGTCATCTCCACTGTGGTCATCTCCTGTACTGTGTCCGCAGTCTCTGGTCATTTCCTGTACTATGTCCGCAGTCTCTGGTCATCTCCTGTACTGTGTCCGCAGTCATTGGTCATCTCCTGTACTGTGTCCACAGTCTCTGGTCATCTCCTGCACTGTGTCCGCAGTCTCTGGTCATTTCCTGTACTATGTCTGCAGTCCATTGGTTCAGAATATTTTTTTCCTTGTTTTTCTCTTATGGTCAGGTGCGTCTTATGGAGCGAAAAATATGGTAACTCAAACTAAAGCTGCCACCTAAAATAGCAACACATAGCTTTTATGCCCCTTTCATAAGAAAAGCTGCATGAGTTCTCCATCACAAATTGCTTTCAAGCCTAAGCCCAATTCTTCCCCATCACCAATCGAATGAGTTCTCCATGCTGGCTAATAAGGCCACTCCTAATGGATATTGGGCTGATAGGTGAATGTGATGTGAATTAGGCCAGAGGTTGCAGCCGCACAAGAGAGCTTCTAGCATAGTACTGTCTGTTCATAAGCGACAATTTTAGTTTTGGATATTCAGAGTAAATGACATTTAAACTAGCACATTTAGAACTAAAACAATGAACATAATTCATGTCATATCTAGACAGATTAACCATACTTGAATTTTTAAACGTGTATATTGAAAATGTTTACAGCAGTATTTGTGTTAACACAACAATGCAGCTGTCATGCCTGATGCATCATTTCCCAATACGATACGAAACATATTAATTTTCTTGGTTATTGTAAAGTCAAATAAAAAGATATTGACCCAGTTAAAATGTATTTATAATGGCCTGTTTTAAATGTTTGCCTTTCTCATTCATTGAATGACACAGGAAATCTTTACCCTTTAGGTTTTATTGCCGCCTACAGGAGGATTGAACACCGGCAAACAAAAAACTGTAGGCCAGCCCCAGATAATCCCTCCCACTACACAGCATGCCTTAGTTTTTTTGTCATTGTGCTAGGAGGCTGCATGCCTTTTCTACATCTCTGCTGTGTTAAGACTATTTTTTTATCTTGCTAATTTTTTTTTCATTGTTTCCTTCACTTAACACTCTTCTGTTCATTGTACTCAGCCTGGCCTTTGAAGTACCAAGTCTATGCTACTCTGGATTAGACTTTGCAGAGATAGCTTGGAAGTGACCATTGGGGACTGGGTTCGGCATAGGGTGTTTTCCAGACTACATTCTGGTGAAAGTTAGCTGCCAAGCGCTTTCCAGGTCTGGAGCCATTGGCTTTGCTTCAGCTATAAAGATTTGCTTAGTTAGTAGGCTGGTCATGCTTTTATTCCCCACTTCTGCTGGTTTTGTCACAGAAGAGGGTAGCACTGCAGGACTGACCTCGTCTGCACACCACATTCTTTCTCCTTTCATACAGTTTCAAGGAAGCATCTCCTCACTGCTGCTCCTGCTTGAAAAGAACCATATGGAATTTTGTTCTTTGATCCATTCCTGCTGCCTGCTTCCAGTGACTTTGTTCATCTCCAGCAATTTTAACCTTACCTGCTACCAGCTGTCTAGGTGTCGAGAGTACCTGAGGCCTTGCCTCTTATCCTGAGCTTATACACTGCCTTACACCTCACATTCTACTTATGGTTCTGGGTCTTCCTGCAGCACATCGTCTGACAGTGCTGATGCCTACAGCATGGAATTGTGTTCTCTTCTGATCATAAAATCTGTCCTCCGTGGATGTGATTGGCCCTTTTATCCTCACAGCTGAGGTTTTTTACCATGGTCATGCACCATTTTTTGTTCCATAATACCCAGTTATTTGTTGTCCATAGAGGCTAGAAGGGCACTTTCTTGCAGATTCTATATCTCTTTTGCCCACAACCTTAGTGGTTTCAGAGCCATCTGCTGAAGAGAGTGTGATTCTGAGTTGCTCCAGCCCTTGACTGATGAGCTGGCCACTGAAGAGTCGCAGTCTTCTACTAAAAGGAGGCCATTTTGGCTTTTATTGATGCACTGTGCTTCACTCTGAATCTAGAAGAACAGCCTCATTGCCTCTGCCATTGCTGTTTCCAGCCTTAGGCTGTATAAATCTCCTAACCCAATAAAGACTTCCCTTTGCATCCACTTTTCCAACTATTTTATAACTAATGGAACTTGGAAACATCCTGACAAGCCGTTTGCTCTCTCTAAACACTTGTCTTGAATCCATTTAGTGAGGATTTTGTGCGGAAGTGGTGTATTCTCACTGTGGATTCAGCAGTGCCACACCTAAACAGGGCACTTACCAGTCTGGTAGAGAATGTGCATTTTTTTAAGGACCTAAAAGATAATCTGTTGGAAGCCCTTTCTGGAGCTCTGTTCTTGTAGGTGAGCCCTGCCTTTCATCTGATTTTGGCTGTGACCTTAGTTTGCAAAATAATATCTAGCTGTTAAAATCCGTTAAAGAATGAATGGAGCAAATGCCTGTAACAGTATATTTTAGCAGTGACAATTTGCTTGAAGCCTCCTGTCTAATTTCTCACATGTATCTCATTGTCATTTCTCATTGTCAAGTGTAGGGCACTTTGGCTAAGGTGCTGGACTGTGGAACCCTTGTGTAAAAAGCTTTTGATCAGCATAGCCTTTGAAAGACAGCTTCCAACCAGCTCTTGGTAACATTGTTTTTTCTCAACCTGTTTACCAAGTCCAAAGGGGCATTCATCCACTTCCAGGTCTTAAAGCTGTAAATGTCCTCATTCAAGTCTAAAAATTCTGCTTGGAATCTAACCAATCTGTCATCACCTCCCTTCACCAAGGAGACATCCGGATGTCTGTGCATATCAGAGATGCTTACTTACATGTAGCCTTCTTTCCAGAGTATCTGCAATTCCCATGCTTTGCTGTGGGGCTCATGCACAGTTTGTCTTTGGCTTTCTTTTGGCTCCTGATCTGCACCTCTGGGCTCACCTGCTGCTTTCTCATGACATCCCCATTTTGCAATACTTAGACGACCTCCTGTTGAGGGAAGTGATGGTGTGGGCTCTGTCAGACAATGTGATGTTGACCACCCAGATGTTACGATTCAGATGGATCCTGAATTTTCAGAAATCATCACTGAAGCCAATTCATTATTTGGAGTATCTGAGCCTAATCCTGGACACAGTTTAGGTCACAGTGTTTCTTCTACAGGAGAAATTTCTGACCCTCAGGGCTCAAATTTGAATTCTTCAGCCCAAGACCCTGCCGACTTTCCATTTTTGCATGAGGCTCCTAAATCTAAAGGTAGCCTCTTTTGAGGCAGTCCATTTTCCCAGTTTGAAACCTCTACGACACAATATTTTTTATTGTGGGGCAAGTCAGTCCAGCCTCTGGACAGACTGATTCTTCTATCACCAAGAACCAGGTTGCCTTTGGCCTTGGAGTCAGGAATGTGTTTTTCTTTTAGTGTTTTTGTGAAACCTCATGATAGACACCAGCCTGTCAGACTGGACAATATCCTGGGCCTCCTGATCAGTATCCTTGAACTACAGGTAATTTGGCTGTCTATGTAATGTTGGACCATCCAACTGGAAGGTCATCTAATCCAGATTCAGTCAGGAAAGGCTATCGTTAATCATCAGGGAGAACTAGAAGTCTCACCACAGCATGAGAGGTAGTTTGGATCCTGTCTTATGAAAACATTCCAGATGTAGACTTCCTCAGCTGGCTGCTTCTGGACCTGGGGAATGGTCCCCACACCCTGGATGTAGACCTCCTGGCCTCCATAAATATGTTGCAAGCACCAACATTTGAGGTGCAACAGAATTCAAGACTGTTTACCATACTATTTTTTAATTCTATGGTGTGTGTCATCTGGCCAAATCTTTTGGCTGGTAAAGTATTACTCATATTTCCCTAATTAGTATATGTAGCTTTTAACTAAAGCTTAATTTTAATTTCCATTCTAGGATGGTCATCATTTACGAGTTGGTGTCCTAAGAGGTCTGATCGCTATATTGGACTGCACTTCATTCTTCAATACATATAATAATGATTGCCCATGCAATATTTTCTAGAAAAACAAACATACAGTTGGGTCCATATGTATTTGGACACAGGCACAATTTTCATACTTTTTTTGCTCTTTATGCCACAAGAATAAATTAAAATGAAACAATCCAAATGAATTTGAAGTGCAGACTTTCAGCTTTAATTCAAGGGGTTCAACATAAATATCAAGTACAAATTTTAGGAACTGCAACCAATTTTATACACAGTCCCTCCATTTTCAGGGACTCAAATGTAATTGGGCAAATGAATATAACCATAAATAAAATGTTAATTTCTAATATTTTGTTGAGAATCCTTTACTGGCAATGACTGCCTGAAGTATGGAACCCATGGACATGACCAAAGACTGGGGATCCTCCTTTCTGATGCTTTGCCAGGCTTTAACTGCAGGTGTATTCAGTTGTTCTTTGTTTGTGGGTTTTTCTGCCTTTAGTTTTGCCTTCAGCAAGTGAAATGCATGCTCAATTGGGTTGAAATCAGGTGACAGACTCGGCCATTGCAGAATATTCCACTTCTTTTCCTTCAAAAGGTCATGGGTTGCTTTTGCCGTGTGTTTTGGATCATTGACCATCTGTACTGTGAAGCGCCGTCAAATCAACGTTGCTGCATTTGGCTGAATCTGGGCTGGCAGTATACATCTAAACACTGCAGAATTAATCCCGCTGCTTCTGTCACATCATCAATAAACACCAATGACCCAGTGCCACTGGTAGCTATGCATGCCCTAGCCATCACACTGCCTCCACCATATTTTACAGATGACGTTGTGTGCTTTGGATCATGAGCTGTTCCAAGCCTTCACCACACTTTTCTTCCTGTCATTCTGGTACAGATTAATCTTAGTTTCTTCCGTGTAAAGAATGCTTTTCCAGAACTGGTCTGGCTTTTTTTTTAGATGTTTTTTTTTGGCAAAGTCTAATCTGGCTTTTCTATTCTTCAGGCTTATGAATGGTTTGAACCTTGTGGTGAACCCTCTGTATTTGATCTTGTGAAGTCTTCTCTTGATTGTAGACTTTGACAATGATACGCCCACCTCCTGCAGAGTGTCCTTCGCTTGTCCGGATGTTGTGAATGGGTTTTTCTTTACCATAGAGAGGATCC